TGAGAGACCCCTTTGACTCAATTACCCAAATCGGAAATGGAGAGAAAGAATTGAAAATTTTCAGACAGTGGTTTTGGGAATCTGTTTGAGGATGCGCTTTATAGGGTGGGATGTATTGTGGATCATATTGTTTCAGGGAATATCGAAGGCTTCAGGAGCAGGTTAGAGAATTTTGGCCGTCAGATGGGGGTCTTATCGACGGTAGTGGACGCTTGTGTAGCCATCCGCGTAGTGAGTAATTGACCTATGGGGAGCAAGGTTTTTGTTTTGTTTTTGTTCGAGTGGTGTGTTATTCACACACATCTTTTTACCTTTCATACACTTTGACATTACTCTCAATTTCTAATCATCAGATTTAATGAATTGAAAAAAATCAAAAGACATAAATTAACAAAAGGCGCACAAAAAATAAAATTTGAGGTGTGGATAGTACCCTCCTTTTGTTCTTGGTTTTTTGTTTTCTTATTTTTGGTGATTAAAAAGTGGCACATATTAATATTGGTGGATCCATGTTTCCCTTTTTCAATTTCCCGCTGCAATTCTGGTTAGCTATTTCAAATTTTGGAGAATGTGAAATTTGTTTTTAGAGGTTGTTAAACAAATTTTACAAGTCAATTAGTATTACAGTTTAACGGTATTACTCTTTACTTGTAAGTGAGAAGATTTAAATTCAATTCTCTTCAAATGTCAATTATTACTAAAATTTAACGCCATAATGTTGTATTACATAAACGAAAGCACGACATGCTTATGCAATTTGGGATTTTATTCAATTTGGGATTAAAGAGATATTAGTTCTGTTATTAAAAATTATTCAATTTGGAATTTTATTTTTTAAATGGATGTAAAAATAAATTTACATATTAAATTAAGTTTGTGAGGGTATATTAAATAGTAAATTTGAATTTAAAGAGATATTAATTTTTTAATTAAAAATAATATGAATGTAGAAAGTAAGTTGGCCGTATAAATAAATTACAAATATTCAAATAAAATTTCCAAAAGAATTCCCCATGGAGGAATGTGTTTTTTGAATATTTAACAAAAAAACAAAAAAAAAGAATATGTTTTTTGAAACCCAGGCAGCCATTATGACACCAACAACAAAAAAACCCAGCCTTTACACCAACATGAAAAAAAACCCAGCCAGCTTTCGATCTCGTTGCCACCTTCAATTTCTTTCAAATTCAGAAACCAATTAAAGCCTCCAAATTACAGAATCGATGATCACTCGCTTATCCAGCAAGCTGCGATTTCATGCTTTACAGGGAAATCGGTGCTGCTCTCTCTCTCTCTCTCACACACACAGCTTCTAATCCATTGAAACTAAAAACCCAGATGAGATTTCTCCCATTCTGGTTCGATCTGCCACCACAGGTGTATGAACAAGAATGGCGCGACGTGGTTTCGATTCGGCACCGCTGATTTTGTGTTTGTATCTGCTTGATGTTGATTGGAGGTGGGGAGGGAGAAAGACAGAGTGCAGTAATTCCTGCGATGCGCTGGTGCGAGCGTTACCATGAACCTGACTAATTATACAAGGACTTGAAGAGCGGAATTTTATTTGAACTTATATAACTTCACTGTACATCCAACTTAAATTTTAAATATTAATTTTTTTTTTTTTATTCTATTGCATAATTACTGTTAAATACAAGATGAAACTAATAATAAAACTAAAAATTATCAATAAATTCATACTCAATAATCAAACTCTACTATCATTCAATCTTTATCTTATGTCCATTTTGACTAATGAATGATAATTTTGAAGTTCCGAATCCTTCAACTAAAATATAAATCACTTTATGCACGTTTTTATTCATTTGATTTTAATTTTTTTTAGAGTTTAAAAGTATATTGCTTGCAAAGAAGGTCTTTGTTAACCCGTGAATAAATTTCTCTGTAGGACTCATAACTCTCCCAAAAGGCATTGGGAATTCAATACTGCCACCAACTGAAACATAAAAATAATGAAGCTAAAACGCTAGTGAATAGCTTGGCATATGCATAAGAAAAACAGACAAGGTAAAAACAACTGGAGTGAAGAAATGTACTTTTCGAAGTTCTTGAAAGCAACAGTGTCATCCATCAACCAATGCGAAAGGATTCATCTCCAAAAGTGAAGTCCAAATCCGAAACATAGTGATAATTAGCAAAAGTGTTCTTACTTCTAACAACTTAAAATACAACAAATACGACTTTGATAAAGTCCTTGCGTGGCATTAAAACAGAAGAAGATTGGGACATTGATGATAACGATTATCATCCATCCTATACAGATGAGAACAATGTATATCATTGTGACTATATTTTCGACTCTAGCGATAAAAAAGAGAAGAGGATCATCATTCTGCATGGGCACGAGAAGAGGATCACCATCCTACATGGGCACTTTCTTCCTGAGAAATATTGGAGTAGCAGGTTTGCACACTTAAGAATTAGATATGAAAATAATTTCAAAAACAGAGCTGTCTCCAACTGATTTTGGGTTTATTTTCTAAATTGGTGTAAAGATAAATTTATATATTGAATTGGGTTCGTGAGGGTAGTTTAGATAGATTTTTGGGTTTAAAAAGATATTGATAGTTTAATTGAAATTAATATGGATGTAGAGAGTAAGTTAGGTGTAGAAAGATATTATATGGATTTAAATAAAAAATTTCTTTGAAGAGGATAAGTAGTCAAGTGTAGGGTGTATTAAATTAGCCGGTGCAAACTAATTATCCATGGCTATTTAACACATAAAATACCAAACAACTGGGCCGTATTTTTTATACGAGCTGCCAAACGAAACCTTTGGCACCCATTTGTCAAGTTCATTCTTATGCCTTAATTAGGGCAGTGTTGAGTTATGCATAGTTTGAGTCCATGTTATGTGGTAGATTGATATAACATGTGGGATATTTCTTTTCTGTTTCCTACTGTCTCCCTCCATTCTTCCACCGTTTTTCAGCCCTTCATTTATACACAGTCTCTCCATCGCAAAGAAAAAAAAACGAAATAATTATCAAAAACATTTTTTACATACGAGAGATGTTCCACAAGTTTATGACATTATAAACCGCATATCAGCAGGTTGTTGAGTTTGTACCCCAAAAATAATTTTTGTTCTACTTTTGGGAAGAGGGTCCTCTCTGGACACATTTTGTGGAGATCTTAAGAATCTTCATATTATAGCCGTGCATCGTACTTTGTGTGGATAATTTTCGTTAGGTACTATTTGTGTTTAATTTTAAATAAAAAAAATCAAATGATTTTTTACCACATAATACACAATGTATGGCTAAGATGTGAGAATCCCTAAAGTTCCCACAATTTGGATCCAGGATCCAAATCCCTACTTTTGTAACAGAACTAACTCAACCCATTTCACATGAATTGGTCGGACCAGTTGACCCATTAAAAATGCCCACCATAAGTGATTATTAACTAAGGAAAACTAATGAAAATGACTTGAAAAATTTTAGTTTTAATAAAAAATCATGTTATAAGTTTTGTTTAATGATTAGTATAAGACCCATATTAAAGTAGTCTAACTAAAAATGGCCCAACTATAATAAATTATGATTTATCGATTTTACCCCTAACTTTTTTAGGTTGAGTTCCAGATTTTTGTCGTTAATGGAGTTCATCGTTGTTTTGCAGACATTCTTCTTTTTCTTTTAGACAAAAATATAGATCCTCATGCTATTTAATTTATATTTTGTATTATTTCATTGAAATGTGATCGTTGTTATTATTCATAATGTATTTGAGGTACTGTTTTTCAATTTTTCATCGTTAGTGGAGTTCATCGTTTGTTTCTTCAGAAAATAAATTTGAGATTTGCATGCTATTCAATAATAACGACGGGTCACTGTTTCTGGACTGTAAAAATAAACTATTTCTATATTTTAAGTAACACTGTTTCTGGATCCAAATGAAATAGACACACTGTTTCTTAAATGTAAGCTAGTGGAATCTAAGTCACTGTTTCTGGATCCAAATGAAATAGACACACTGTTTCTTAAATGTAAGCTAGAAAAGAAATAGTGAAATTCACTGTATTTGGATTCAAAGCAAAATAAGCACCATGTTTTTTAAATATAATCAACTGATGCATGAAAGAAAAGAAATAGTTAAAGGTTAAAACATAGACCGTTTCTGGAACTAAATCACTGTTTCTGGAATTTAAGTCACTGTTTCTGAAATTCAAGTCACTGTTTCTGAAGTTTAAGTCACTGTTTATGGATTTTAGTTCTTTTCTTTCCAGATATCGAGTTTGTTTGTGCACAGACAAAACAAACACTGTCTCTAATTTTTTTATTTATTTTTTCTAGAAATAATGTTATGTTTTGGATTATCTAGAAACATTTTTATGTTTTGGTTCTTTTTTTTTTTTTTTTTTTTTTCCCAAACACTTTTTCGCTAGTTTCTGGCATTAAACTTCTTTAAACTTGTTTCAGTGGTTTTGTTTCGATGAATGCTTCATTTTTCAACCTTGATTTGGTTGTTTTTTAAATGGTGGAATTCGATTTGATAGGAAGACAGGGAGTTATTATGACGGTTTCGTGCTGGGTTGAGATTGGTGAATAGTGAAGATAATGTCAAATCATTTAGCGATATTTATGAAAGTGTAGATTTGTAGTGAGTTGGGCTTGTAAGTTTGACCCGTGGACAATAATTTTGGATAATTTTTTTAAATTAAACTTTAAACCCTTTTAGTTAAATAACATTTTAAGATAATTTATGGTTAAATATTTATTGATTCAAACCCTTTTCATTGAAGTTCCTGTTAACTACCCCCAAAAGTTAAAAATTTATTCACTTTGAGTCCGCCAATAAAAAGGAGCCTCGATTTTCCAGCTGGGTGGCAAGTCGGAAGACCCGCCACATAAACCAAACGGCCTATCAGTCTTTTCCCAAACCTGACCTACACGCGTCAAGCCATGATAGGACAGACCTACCTTCTCCTGGCCCCGTTGTCACGCATGACACGCCCACCATGATTGTATTTAGAGAGGGAGTGGGGAAGTAGGTGAAGGAGAAGCCACAACAACCACCACCGTCTCGGCAGCAAAAGCCGTTCAAAGCACACACCAAACGCCAGAGAGCAATCAGTCCTCCATTTTCTGCCATAGTCGCAGCAACTCAGCTCGTTTTCGTTTGGGGATAGATTTTTCTGCAACCGCAATGGTCGGTATCTCTCTGCTGCTTCTCTTTCCCTGCGCATTGCTTTTTGTATAATTTTATTTATTTATTATTGTTTCACTTATTTCGGCTGTTTAATGGGTTTTGGCTTATGATCTCTGATCGCTGCGTTATCATCTGTGATGGGTTTTGGATGCACTTGTTTGAATCGATTGTTATCGATCATCGGATCTGAATTTGGGTTTTGTTTTGATTTTTGTGTCATTTAGTTGTCAGTAGACGAAGATACTAGCTTTGATCACATTCATATAAATATAGTCCTCATCTTTTGAGTTCTGGGTATTTTTATTTTTGGTTCTTTGTGGTGGGTTTGTGTTTTTTTTTTCTTTTCATATATATATTTGGTGTTTTGGTATCGGTCCGGTCATGTTTATTGTGAAATTTGAACATAGTTGCGTTGCATCATTTCTGTTAGTCTAACAGTTGATGTGGGTGTCGATTTTTAGATGCATGGAGATTTAAATCTGATTAGAAAGCTGTTTTAGATTATCACAATGTCAACTCACCCGCATTTGGTATTCTGTTAATTGTTCGAGAGTTGGTTTTCGGTGCTGGAATAATATCAACCAGCTGATCACTGATCAGAACTAATTTGAGTGATCCCATCTGATTCCTTACGAATATTGCGATGCTGAATTAGATCTTAATCTTGCAAGTATAGCACTAGTGCACACTATATGGAAATCGGGATTGGGCAGTGTGTAACTTGGACGCTTCACAGAGAGTCTGTAATCTAGAACTGAGGCTTAACTTAAGAAGAAACGTACCTCAAGTGGCCTTGTTCCTTTTTTATTCATTCGTTTTGCTGAGCATTCCCGGTTTCAGACTGCTGGTCTATTCCTGTTTAATTTAGATATCTAATCCCTAGGCCAACCTGCATAGTACAGGCATAAATCGAAGGGATTCAAGTTGAATGCTGTATCATTACGTACTGCTCTTTAAGAAATTGGGTGAGATAGAACCTGTAGAATGAGAGAGAAAAAAGAGGAGGAAGGATGGGAGGGCTGAAGGAATGGAAATGAAATGAATCTATGGAATAGTCTCTTAAGATCTCCATCGAAGGTTTTATAACGATCATTGCATCCAAGTTGCATTCCTTTTATGACCAGCAAACTTGCAACCTTTATGGCCCGTTTGATAACCATTTCGGTTTTTTTTGTTTTTAGTTTTCATTTTTTTGTGCTAATATAGAGGGAGAGTATATGGGAGAAATGAGGAATGGAAAGGATGAAGGGAGGTGGTGGGAGGGGTGACGGGAGAAATGAAGGAGATTATATGAAAACAAAGACTTGAAAGTGAAAACAACTTCAAAATTGTTTTCAGTTTTCATTTTGTGTGTCGTTCCATACACATCCCTTTCACATTTGTATCCCTCGTTCACCCTTGTTCTTTCCTTCTCTCTCTCTCACTTACTTTTCCTCTATCTAATTTTAGATATTATTAATTGTTTTCTTGAGAATTTTTGAGCTTATTGTTTGGCCGAGTAGGACAGTGAATACATATTTATTGTTTCAAAACTAGTGCGTGTTGGTTTTGTGGACATAAACTGGGTAAGAATAACATCTATCTTCTGTTTCATCCTATGAACAGGCTAACGCAGCGTCCGGTTTTGCTGTGGATGATGACTGCAAGCTGAAGTTTCTGGAATTGAAGGCAAAGAGAACATATCGCTTCATAGTGTTCAAGATTGACGAGAAGAAAAATGAGGTGATTGTGGAGAAACTCGGTGAGCCAGCTGAAAGCTACGAAGACTTTACTGCAAACCTTCCTGATAATGAATGCAGATATGCTGTCTATGATTTTGACTTTGTGACTGCAGAGAATTGTCAGAAAAGCAGGATTTTCTTCATCGGATGGTAATATTATAACCTAAAAACGCGTCTCTCTTTTTTTCGTGTCATTTCTGCTTATGTTTTTTGCCGTTTTCATAGGTCTCCCGACACAGCAAGGGTGAGAAACAAGATGATTTATGCAAGCTCCAAGGACAGGTTCAAGAGAGAATTGGATGGCATACAAGTCGAGCTGCAGGCTACTGATCCGACTGAGATAGGCCTCGATGTTATCAAAAGTCGTGCAAACTAAGAAGCCTGGTCTCTGTTATGGCCATTTTTCTCAAGCTCTGTTTTACTTTTAAGTGGAATGTTAATAGTTTGTGGGGTTGTGAACCTGACTGGATTGTAATACTCGGTTTGAAATTTATAGTACTGTGTTTTCTTCGACTAGAACGAGTCCTGCAATCTCGGTTTGTAGACGGAGATGAAAGAACTTATGCAATGAGTGTGTCCTTATAGTTACATTTAGAAGCTAATCATTGTTTTGTGTGCCTGTTATGATTTAACGTTGGAGGATGAGTACGAGTAGGCTGTGAATTCGAGTGTTTCAAGCAAATGAGGCTTTGTGCGCAAATACACAAAATATGATAGCATTTGTGTTTCCTACGACTCGTTCGAGCAATTCCAGCGGGGAGAGAAAGGCAAAGGCACGGGCTGCCAAAATGCCCAAAACCTCTCCACCGGCCCAAACGATGGAGGGCGATTCGGTGGCTCCACCAAGTCTGTTGGACCACTAACCCAACGTTTTTCAGGCCTTGCGCCCGCTGGCATTGCGTGACCTCAACATGACGTCAACTAGTGGATGGTGGATGGCGGGCACCACGATAGACTAAGTACTGACATTTGGTAAACACTTAAAAACAACTTATTTTTATAGTTTCGGATGAAAAAAAAATTGAAAACGTGAAGCAACAAATATGAGCTTATTCTCACAGTACAGCAGAAGCAATTTTTTTTCAAAGCACAACAATATCAAACCAGTCCTAAGACGACAAAGCCCAACGGCTCTCTGCACTGCTTCACCTAGAATGTTTCTAAAGGTCTGATGATCTTGACCGTTGAATTTTCAATAGTAAAAAAAGTTTGTAAATTTTAGCGTTGTGCCATGTGACATACCATGGTACGTCTAATTTCCAAATAGTATGTAAATCAACAGCCATGATTAAATCCAAAAAATTACTTCTTTTTTTTTTTCAATTCTATAAAGGGATGTGCTATCTACACACCCTTTTTTACTTCTCACACACCTCTTGTTAATTTTTGTCTGTTGATCTTCTTCAATTCATCCGATCAGACGGCCGAAAACCAAAAAGATGTAGGAGAAGTAAAAAGAAGTGTGTGGATATCACATCCCTTCTATAAATACCCAACCAGCTTCTTCCTTCCTTACACCACATCTCAATAATTTTTTTTCCGTACAATCTCCTATATTTTACCTTTTATGCATTATTCCATTGATCTGATACTGCATTCGGTCATGTGCCGACAACTACATACAAATCATGATTGCAAACCATGTGACTGCAGACAATTCTCAGAAAAAACACGATTTTCTTCATTGCATGGTAATATTATAACCAGAAACGCCTTCTCTCTTTTTCCCTTGTCATTTTTGCTCATGTTCTTTACCTTATTCATAGGTATCCCGACACAGCAAGGGTGAAAAGCAAGATGATTTATGCAAACCTACAAGAACATGTTAAAGGGCGAATTGGACGGCGTACAAGTCGAGCTGCAGGCTACTGATCGGGCTGAGATAGCTCTCGATGCTATCAAACGTCGTGCAAACTAAGAAGCCTGTGTTGGATTTATCCAATATAAATCAACATTTAAGGGTGTGTTTACATATGGGGAAAGGATATGACGGAATGGGAGTCATTCCCCATTCCTCCGTTTACCAACTTAAGCGGAATGCACAATTCTGCGGGCCCCACGTAAAATCAAGAATTCAATTCTTGATATCGCTGAAATTGGATTACTTGGACGAAGGTAGTATTTGGATTCCGAGGGAAGGCTCCATCCGGAATCAAATTATTCTTCCCAAAATGCCCTTCACCTTCAGTACTCCTTTCCATCGCTTATGCGCTTCACCTTCATCGCCTGCGCCACACCTTCCATCTCCCCATGTAGCCATGCCTTACTCCCCTGACACTGCCTCACAAAATCCAACCCCCAAATCGGATTCAAGAATTTATCACCCAAACCCCAATAATAAACCCATAGATCCAATGAAGAAATCACTCAAAACCTAGAAAATCTTGAAATTGAAATACTTGGCAGGTAGGAGGGGTGGTGATTATGGGGTAGGTTGAGTGGGAAAGATGAAAGCGAGGGGGTAAAGGGGAGGGAGGAGTTTTTATCTTCTGCTAGGGAAGATGAAAGCGAGGGGTGGTGATTATGAGAGTCCGTTCGCTTGACTGACCGCCTCACCATTTCCAGCATATAAACAACTCCCTCTCTCTCCCATTTTAACTCTTCACTTCAATCAAATTAATAAAAATAACTAATGAAAATATTATTAAAAAAAATATGGGAAACAAATAAAATAAAAAGAATAAGGGCATTTTAGTAATTATATTAATTTTGTGAATTAGTAAACAACTTATATGAATTTCGTTTGATTTTTACTTCGATTCCAGAACATTTAAGTAAACAGCTTCAACAAGAATCCGATTTTTACTTCTCCTCAATTCAATTCCTCCTCAATCCAATTCCTCTATTTTGATTACAGTTACGTAAACGCGTCCTAAGTGGTCAACTACATAGGAATGTAATATTGGAGAAATAATGTTGATTGTGATTCGATCTCTTAAAGATATTAATCCTATATCATGTGTCTTATATTGGAAATAGGATTGATGGAATCCTTAATTGACTATAATTATGATACTTAACTTAGAGGCTAAGAAAGAAAGTTTAGGTTTCCTTTATGGATGGAAACCCTATCTTTTAGCCTATATATAAACAGCGGTCCCTAACAACTGATATCATAACCACTGGTTATATGATTAAACCTATTAGGTTTTAGGTTGGACTATATAATATTTTTATGAGCAGCGTTTTTAATCCAAGTTATGATTGCATACACTTGGAAACACCACCACGTTGTTTCAATCAGTACAGTTGATGATTGTTAATAGATTATATAACCATTCGGTTTTAGTCAAGAATTTTTAATAATTTTATGGCACGAATCCAAAAAAAAAAAAAAAAAAAAAAAAAAGAAGATCAAGGATAGCAGCAAATCGTGGTATCAATCCTTATATATAAATCATGTTATCATAACTATTTTACAATGGAAACCATGTGAGATTTTTCTATTTTAAATATAGTTCAAAGTGATTCCTTTTGACCAGCCATATTAAGCCATCGAAAATAGCTTGCGTTAGGGACACATGAAGTCAAAAGTATAAAACCACGAACAAGGCACTGAGAATAACAGTTTTGTTCTATTTCAATTTTCATGCTAATATTTTGGTTGCAATGATTTACCATGTGCCACTGATGATCTCAATTTTTGTAAGCATGCTATATTTGTTCTTTGACTCTGATTTTCATGATGGTTTATGGTATTTTGGTTGATATATATTTGGGTTGATCCCTGAAAGCTTAAATTGGTAATAAGATAAAGATATATTTGCATGAGTGATGTGCTAATTATTGTAGAGTATGTATATACATTGAATACCATGTTTTAGTTAAGTATGTCATGAATATGGATCCAATTATTTTATGTTTGGCAACTGTATAAAAATAGGCATATGATTTATGTGTTTGACTAAGAATTGAGATTATCAATTTTTAATCTGGCATATGTTGATAAATTTAAGGTTTTGCAATTTATCTGAATTATTACTCCAGTCAAGATACCGTTATGATATAATTTGGTTGCCATAAATTTGTATTACACATTCACTGATTTTTTTTTCTCTACAAAATGGCTTGAGTTGATACTCCAATTTAACAAGAAATAATTGCATAAGCGTCGGGCAAATGGCACATGCAGACATGCCAAGAAGTATGTAAATGTCAAATCTATCTTGTTTGTTCGCGGCTAATTTTGTTAGTGCCACATGAGAGCGAGCTTGCTGGAATCAAAAGCTCCAGCTGCAGGTTTAGGGCAGGTTTTTTAACTGCCATGTGCGAGAACACCTGTGTGAGGTGCATCCTGGGTGGACAGGTATCAAGGGGACACTAACCACCCTTCAAATGCCTCACGAATCATTGCAGGTTTTCTGTTTTCCTTTTGAATGGATAAAATAAACTCATAAAATCAATTTTTTTTTAGTTGCATTACATGATTATGTGTAGGAAATATATATACACTGAATTAAATAGCCATGTCATTGGTTGCTGTCGGAAATATTCAACATGGATTCAGTTTTAAGTGTGCAAACATGTAGCAAAATTGACATATGGCGTGTTTTATTAAAGGGATCGTGTTGTCCTATATTGCCTTAAGCTTGAGATGATCTTATGTAAAGAAACAAATGTGTAGATTAGTAATGCAGTATACTAGTACTCTTAAGTATGATTGGGGATTAATTGAAGTAAGGTTTATAGTGATATTAACTCCATAAGGAATTTGCTTGACTAAACAATTAGTTTTGTCTATAATTTTGCTTTCCTGTCTCAGTAGTCATTTAATCATACATGACTAGTTAAATATGAAAAATTGATGCATGACTAATGGATTGACTGAGAATGATAGAAAGCATCCAGTGGCATGAACAAAGACATTATACAAACGAATAAGATTTGTAGTAATTATATGACAATTCTCATTTGTATTTTATCTATTCTTATACGAGAATTATGGTTGTTCATGTGATTATATATATGTTTATAAAGAAGTGGTAAACATACGAAGGTATGAGTTATGTAATTCATTAAAAGTATGTGACTTAATTGATAAGCATGAATTTTCAAACATGTATTATTGTTTGTTAGTTTTTCATTTGCCTAAAGAATTTAAACAGGCTTTGACCAGTCAATTTTTATGTGTCATAAGGGAAGAATAGAAAAGAATTTTTTTCAAGGCTAATGTATGGCATATATTGGGGATGTTTTCTTTGGAAGAAAATAATTTTGGTTGTTCCTTTATTTAATTTACAAAGCTAATGCATGTTTTTTAGTGCGATGTTTACTAATTTTGTACCACGGAAAGAGAGGTACAAAAGGAAAGGAACCCGTTTGACTTAAGAAAGCATTTGGGTGATATAACAAATAGCTTTTGAATTAAAGCAAATGTATTACTCTTTCGCATCACATAAAGTGTTTCTATTTTGAAGCAATTAGCTCCATTGTGTTCTCTTGTAAGTATTGTCATTCTTGTGGTGGAAGTGTGATATTACAATTCTTATACAACTTGTTTTGTATGTGATTAATCTCTTTCAAGTATGGTGTCGGGTTTCTTGAGATTAATTGAATGTCAAAGGGAGTCATGAAGGAATTAATGTCATTTGTTGGCAAGACTCGAAGCTGAAATTAGGTTATCATGATTTTGTCACTTACAGCTAATTAATTCATGTGACTTTTGTATTGTTTCAGGGCAGAGTTGATCAATGCCTTTTCAACTAAGCAAGCCGCAACGGTTTAGTTGACGATGAGACTGTGTTTTTGAGTTACTTCAGTCAACATTGCATCTTAATTAGAATACAAGGGATAATCTTCTTGCTCGCAGGTGTGGATTATTTCTTTTAGTTTAATGAAGATGGCATAGTATTAGTATGGGCTTTATTTCACAGAAGTTGTGAAAATCTTCATCTTGCCTACAGGTGTTGAAGTTTTTCATGAAGGTACTTTTGTGACATAAAACCTAGTACTAGAAACTAGTTTATTTTCTTGCCTACAGGTGTAAATTAATTTAGTTTCATGAAGTTTATTGGGATAAAGTTCCGTGCCTTAAGTTACAAATATTTCCACTTTGAGCCCCATAAAAGGTTGTGGTTTCAAGGCAAGAAAATCGGTCCCATCATGACGTATTTTTGTGTCTCTTCATGAGACTTGTTGATGCAAAGTATTGAATCCATGAAGGTTAATCAAGGATTGCTAAGGTACGCATTGTTTAAGTATAATGCTTGTAAATATTTTCAATTTTGAACTATGATGTATGTTTGAGGATGAAATTTGATTACTTGAGTTTCCTTTGAACATCGAAATTGAAATAATGTGAAATTGAATTTGTTAGAGATGTTTTAGACTCATGATAGATGAACATAATTTTTCTGGCAGATTGTGTGTCTTGATTACAGTCGGACGAATGACACATCTAATGGTCACCAAATGATCTGAATTTTTGATATGTTCAACATATATATGTCTACTGTGTGTCTGAAAATTTTCGTAATTTTTTGTCATGTATTTTAATTATGGTGAATTTACTAGTAACCCATGCTCGTATAGACAGTTTTACTGGCAGATTGTGTTGGTCTTTTTGAGACGTCACTTTAGACTACTATTTTGACCCAAGACGGCTCTATATTTTTATTTTATGAAGATTAGTATGTCTATTTTGATCAGGTAATTTTGGTTGCAATCAAGCTTATAAATTAATTATGATTAAGTCTAAAGTCAGTGTAACTCGTTACTGAAATTCAGTTTGACAACTTTGTGTTGGTTATAATGTCTATTTTATTATGTCTAAAATATAAAGCAATTTTCTTTAGGTACATCTTTGAAAGAATATATTAACGAGTGTTTGCCCAAGTGGGAGAATTAGTGAACAAAAATTGGGCTTCACACTCATTAACTTATTTGGAAGTATAAACTCTGAAAATTTAGTGGGAGTTGCCCTAAAATTTTAAGCATTAAGTGGACTTGCATGAATCTATTAAAGCGTTATTCTATCTTCCATGAATTTGTGTTACTCGAATAACAATAATATGTTTAAGTTGCACGAATGGCTACTTGGTGCATGTGTACATATTTCTATTTTTTGCAATCATTTGGATTCCTTGATTGATCATTTGTTTTGAGGCTCATAAGGACTTAGCATAAATGTGGATTTATTATTACATATAAGGTGGTTGTTGGATGCATGTTTTTGTGTAACAGTGGTGAATGCTTTTGTGCTTAGTTGTATCTTTCATTGGGGTATTATGCATCCATTGACTGGGTAAGGCTATTCCCAAAGACATATTTTCAAAAGTATGATTTAAGTATTGATTTTCAAATTAAGTAACAATGTTGCAAATCAATGGGAGCTTGAGTTTCATGTTAGTAATGTCTTACATTTGCATATGACCTATAAGGTATGTAAAGAATCCATGTATTCAGTTTAATCTTCAGTTGGATTCATTAAGTCACATTTTTGTGTGGTAGTCATTTATCTGATGAAATATATGTCGGATATCAAGTTGTTATCAAACTGCATACTAAATGGCTTGGCATGGTCTATGCGTCAGTTGTGAGGATCTCCATCTGCCCACAGGTGTTGGAAATCGCCATTAAAGTAATTGGTAAAGTGCATAGATCAATGTCAAAAACATGTTAATTCATCTGCTTACAAGTGTTGGATTAATTTGTTTTACAAAGCTTTTGGGTATTTTACTTGGACATGTGCCTATTTGGTACTTTCAGTTGTGTCCGTTGGCTTCAAACATTGTTTGTATGCTTGTTATTGGTCTAATGAAAGTGATCATAATTTGTATTTCATGTGAATGAGGATCTTAGCATCTCTTGATCATAATTTGTGTTTCATGTGAATGAGGATCTTAGCATGTGTGATTATGAAGGTTCTAGATTGTGTCAACCTTACAACCTTGTTAATTCCATGTTGAGAAATGCATTTGACAGAAACTGCATTAAGGATGAGATGTAATCACTGTTACATGGCCACTAAAGAGACATTAGTGTCCAATCTCAAGTATAAACATGAATATTACATTTTGTAGACCAAGTGGGAGAATGTTGGATTACCAAGTGGGAGAATGTTGGATTTATCCAATATAAATCAACCTTTAAGTGGTCTACTACATGTAATAGGAATGTAATATTGGAGAAATAATGTTGATTGTGATTTGATCTCTTAAAGATATTAATCCTATATCATGTGTCTTATATTGGAAATAGGATTGATGGAATCCTTAATTGACTATAATTATGATACTTAACTTAGAGGCTAAGAAAGTAAGTTAAGGTTTCCTTTATGGATGGAAACCCTAGCTTTTAGCCTATATATGAACACCGGTCCCTATAAGCCCTAGACAACACAACATAATGCTTCCCATAGAGTAGTTGTATCCGGCTAAGTGTTTATAGAAGACATAGGTGTTGTTGTGCCTTTTCTCCTTCCTTGCTTGAGTACCATGATTACAATTGAAATCAGGTTTGTCACTCCTTCGTTTGTGTTTTAATTGTATAACCTTATAAGGCTAACAACCTGGTCTTTGTTATGGCCATTTTTCTCAAGCTCTCTTTTACTTTCAAGTGGAATGCTAATAATTTGTGGGGTTGTGAACCTGCCTTGAAATTTATAGTCCTGCAATCTCGGTTTATAGAGGGAGATGAAAGAACTTATGCAATGAGTGTGTCCTTATAGTTACATATAGAAGCTGAGTTGTACAAGCATGGAGGGAAGGCCATATCTAATGCAAAACAATTCATAACTTCATAAGGCAAATCAAACATATCCAAAAGGATAATGAGGGATGCCAAATTTTCAAACTAAATGATATGTCACAAATAAAAAATAAGTACGTTAATCAACACTTAATATAATCCATTCATCTTCAACCATGTCATTTGGTTTACAAAATTTTGTTTAAAAATTTGGTCTTCCTAACATTACCATATCCAAAAATAATAGTTCAGGACTCAAACGTCTAATTTATACTATTATCTACATCTGTATATATATATATATACTGGTTGGTACAGTATGCCGCCAGTACAACACTCCAAACCGAAGCCAACCGTTAATGGATCGGTTCGGTTCTATACCAACCGATTAAAAAGATTTACTAAAATATTACCGTACAGCCTCCAAATTTTGACTCAATTTCTTGAAGACGTGTCTATGTCTCTAGAGAGAAACTTATTTGATCTAATTGTCTCTAGTTGTATTAGGGTTGAGGGCTTTATTATATTGGAACACGTGACCACGTGAGCGAGGTGGGAGTGGATTCGCATCCACGAGATCGTTCCCCAGAAATTCTGCGCTGTTCTCCGTAGCTTCATGTGCGCATTTTGCAGGATCCAGACTCCAGACAATAATCCAATGGCTGCCGGAGATCAGAACCCAGCAACACCACCTGGCGCACGTTAGAAGTGGAGAAATATTGAGACTTGATTGACCATTTTACCCTCTAATCCCTACTTCATAGTTTAATATACCTTTGTTGCAAGGACTTGTTTGACGAGACTAAATCTTCTGCATTCAAAATAGGTGTGGCCTCAATAAGTATTTGACACATTAAATTCATGACAATAAAATTAAGAAAAGTTAAGATAATGAATATGCGTCAGACACTTATTGGAGCCACAGAGAGATCACACTCATTTTAAGTGCAGAAGATTTGGTCTCGTGTTTGACATTCTCAAAGAGTTTTCATTTATGTAGGAGTTAAACTTTGTCGTGTGCCTAAGAAAAGTGTAAGTGAAATCTCGTCCTTGTGTATCTACGAAGAGCCTAACTTTACTCATTTCTTAACGTTTAAAAGTATCTACAAAGAGCCTAATTTTACTCACTTCTTAACGTTTTGTAACCTCACTTGAAATTTACTCTACAGTGTTTTCTTCGATTAGAACGAGTCCTGCGATCTCGGTTATTTGCCAAAAACCTAGCATTGCATGAGCTCATAGGCTTCATGTTGCGAGGTCATACAAATGATGAGCTCGTTTGAAAGTTCCTCATTGTGTAAGATTTTCGTTGTTTCGCGCGGTGCTCGAGTGAATGAACAATGCAAACCCTGTAAAGCTTGTAATTTGATTGTACTCAGTCTTGTATAATCCACAGGAGGACAGCACCCTTCTTTCCTGATACATTACATTCTCCCTCTCTTATGCCTTCTACCTTATCATACAGGGTTGAAATAATGCACATAAAAGAATTCGAGATCATCGTGTCAAGTTACATACCTAAGCTAAAAAAATGTAAATGTTGAACGATCATGGCTCCGCCAAGTATCAAAGAAGCTAATGAACTAATCTCCCAATTTGAAGGTTCTGTATACAACACATGGACGGAATCTAACTTGTCAGGCAAGTTCCACGGATAAGTGTGTTATATGTAACTCGATTTGGCTTCAACCCTCTTCTCATCATGTCATCACGCAACTCGAAAGCCTTGGTTATTTCTCCAGTGACACAACACCCATATATCAAAAAGTTATATGCTAGAATATCAGGCTTCAGACCCCTATCTAGCATAACATCCCACAGCTTAATAGCTTCTAGCAAATTGCCCCTCCTACAGTACTCATAGACAAATGTTGAATACGTGATACAATCTGGGTAAATACCATTGACTGTCATTTCGATCAGGAGCTGTGAAGCTTCCTGAAACTTACCCATTTTGCAGAAACCCCTGATAAGTATATTGTATGTGATGGTGTTTGCTGACAACCCCGCAAGCATGGCATTGTGCAGTTGTAAAGCTTTCTCCATGGTTCCTTCTTTGCTAAGGTGATTTAAGAAACAACCATATGTGACGTGATTGGGAAAGGCATCACTGACGAGCATATCCTTCAAAAGACGCTCTGCTTTATCCATATAACCTGCCTTGCATAATCCATATACCAAGGCAGTGTAAGTCACAACATTAGGTAAGCATCCTTCACCAACCATTATATCCCAAACTCCAATTGCCTTGTCAAATCTCCCTGCTTTCCCATATTCATCGATCATACTTGTATATATTACATTATCAGGCCTCAATCCTTGATTATGCATCTCATTAAAGAGACCAAATAATCTTCCGGTATCCTGTTGCTTTAAAGCTCCACAAATTAGTACAGCATAGCACACAAGATCCATGTCTACCCCTCTTTCAATCATCTCACGACAAGCACCTAATGCATCATGTAATCTTCCTTCCTTGCAATAACCATGTAGCAGTGCACTATAGCACATCTCATTTAACTTGTAATTCTCTTTGTGAAGGAAATCTACAAACTTTTTGGCTTCAGACACTCTGCCCGTCGAACACAGACCACTTATTAGAGGTCTATATGTATACGTGTCTGGTACAAGACCCTTCTCAACCATTTCATCAAGCAACTCAAAGGCTCTAACTGTGTTACCTTGTCGGCAGTGCCCATCAATCATAAGATTATAAGTCACCTCATTTGGCAAAATGCCCCCTTCCACCATTTCATCAAATAATTTTGTTGCTTCAGCCATCATATTTGCACGACAAAGACCTGAAATAATTACACTAAAGGTGTAAGTGTTTGGCGTAATGCCTTTTTCCATCATTTCATGATACAGCCTAAATGCCTTGTGCATCTCTCCTTCTTTGCAGTACCCACTTATCAATGACGTATAGGTTACAACGGTTGGAGCCACTCCTTTATTCATCATCTCGCAGAAGATAGATTCCGCTGCACTCAATGTTCCAAACTTGCATTGCCCGCTTATCAAAGAATTGTAGGGGTAAACAGTTACTCTAACTCCAGCATTAATCATTTTATCAAAATAACGAAATGCAACATCCAACATCCCCCTTCGGCAGAAGGAATCAATCAATATAGAAAAGGTTACATCATTAGGGACCATACCCTTCTTTCCCATGTTATCGAAGAGCAATTCTGCCTCATCCAGTTTCCTACCTTTACACAAAGAATTGAGCAATGAATTGTACGCAAACAAATTAGGAACCACCCCAACTTCTCCCATTCTCTTCACTAAATCAAAAGCATCTTCAATCTTCCCCTTCCTCCTCAACCCCTCCATGAGACCCGAAAGAACTGCTTCACTCGGAACAAACCCCAGCTTAATCATTTCATTCATTAACTCCACACCAACCTCAAATTCCTGCACTTTACACAACCCAAGCACCAAAGTACAATATGTGACCATGTCCGCTTTCAACCCTTTCTGACCCAACATATTCTTAACCTCTACAGCCTCCCAAACCCTCTGGCACTTGCAGAGCCCATGAATCAACACATTATACATAACAACACTCAACTCACACGTATTCGATTCAGCGTAACGAATCACTTCCTTAGCCTTATCTAAATCCTTCAATTCACACAAGCTCCTAACCGCGGCAGTATACATATAAACATCGGGTCGAAGACCCACATTGATAATTTCATCAAAGAGTTGCAGAACCAAATTGAAATGCCTAATTTTCACCAACCCATTTAAAAGGGCATTCAAAGTTCTCACCTCCGGCAACATTTCACACTCCCTCATCAGCCTCACAACCAAAACACCATCCAAAACCCTCTTATTTTGCACATAACCTTGAACCAACAAATCAAATCCCACACTCGACGAACATTCAAGTTTCCTATAAGAATTCAACAGAGATTGAAAAACCTCACTTGGGCTCAACCCACGAAGCAAGAGGGTCTGCAAAAGCGATGAGGCGGGCCAAAAGAGATTGCCCTGAACCAGGGCGTGAATCAGAATGCAAAACGACGCCGTAGAGTGACCGAAGCTTCTGTGCAAGCCCAAGAAATTGAAAAAGCGCAAAGCTAACCTGGGATTCCGTACGTTCTGGATCAGAACCTTCTCAACGTGGCGGGGCTTCAGGGAAGCTGAAATGGAGGGGTCGTTGAAGGCGAGCTTCCAGCTCTGCTTCCCCCGAACGACCTCGGATAGGGTGAAGACAAAGCGGGCGTCATCGTTTTCGTCATTATCTTGGGAGGTGGGATTGGAGGAGGAGGAGGAACAGAGGTTTCTGGGTTTGGAGTGGATGAGAGGGTTTGCGAGGGGACGAGGGGGACGAGCGAGCTTCATTTTTGGTCAATCGATTGGGGTAATGAGGAGATTTCGTTTGAATCATTTCATTGGGATGTTCGTATCAGAAGATAGAGAAATGAAAAGTAAAATCATTGGACGGGTTTGATTTGTGTTGGAAGTTGGAAGATTGGAAAAATTGATCGGGATCATGTCGATGCCGAGAGTGAAGGTGAGTGGTGGACTCCGTTGAATACAGTAGCTTGTTGGATCATCGGTGAGCAGAAACGACTAAATTTGTACATAAAACGTGTGATACCAGCCCATTAGCAACAAAAGCCCAACTCATGCTAGCTCACCAAAGCTCATACTGCTTTCCCAAAGCTCGGAATGACACCTTATGAGCTTAGGCTCATCTATCTCGAACCACTCATGTAGGGGTGGGCACAATACAATTCGGCTCGGTTCCAATCTGAAAGTAGAATAGAAATCGAGAAATATCAATGGTTTGGTTCATGACGGTTTCAATTCCGAATACAGACTTCAAGTGATTTTTCATCAGACACTCGTATGCTTTTCAACAAAAAAACCAAAGGCTCTTTAGCATAGCCCAAAGCTTTCTTCAACGCGTCCCTACTTATGAGCTCTGAGATCTAAATATTTTTAACTCTGCTACCATGTAATATGATTCAGTTGACAATTATTCCAACAAAGCTATGAGCACCTTTAGTGGCATTGTTTCTCTCTTAGTCTATTCCAATATCACTAGTATCGTGGACTCTTCTAGCATCATCTTGTCATCTATGACTTGAATCTTGTTTGTTTTTACTGTTTTCTTTACATTTCAATATTTCAAACTATGTAAAGTGGCTCATCAACCCTTGATTATCTCTTAAAATGAATGTAATTTTATTTCACCTAAGAAATGATTACATTATGTTCTCAATTTCTATTTTCCTTTCAGTCAACTGAACAGAAGAGTCTCATTCACTGCTCAGTCGTTTGATTCAGAAGTTAGATATGAGTGCAAACCTACAAATTATCACACATATTGTATGTTGACAGCCTCCAACAGTGCCACGTCTATTCTCATACTTTTGCTCAAGCCATTTCTTAGCATTGAGAACGAAAGAACCACTCGAAACTAATATTCACGTGTTGACATAAGTTGGACTTTGTCCAATCTTTTAAATCACGTAGTCGAACTATAAAAAAAGGGAGGCTAAGGTTACGAAGTAAGGTTTGTTGGTTAAGGAAAGCTCAGGTTACGAAATCACTTATCTATTAATTAATAGCAAAAACCTCAAGTTTGTAGTACCAATTGAGGTTAATTATATACAGCATGGAAGTTAATGTAAATTGATCAAATATTCCACATTAGTTAGGATTTAAAATGTTGGGATACATCACATTATATCTAGAGAATATCTTGCTACGAACATTCTATATATCACTGTCAACATGTAAATTAGTGGTTTCATGTTTCTAAGGTATCTTTGACATGGTTGTATACGTCATCTAGCATCTTTGTAAGGTATTTTTAATGGTATAAGCAATTGAGTAGGCAAACTTGTTTTAACAAGTCATGTAAGCAAAAACTAAACTCTAATGACATAGACAAATAAAAAATAATTTTGCCTACTTAATTTGTCTAATGACAAAACATTTTCAATGAACAAGTAAACAATAAAGAAAATTTCAACTTCCAACTTTCAAAATGAAATGTTATCAACAAAGATAAAATAGAGGAGCAAAGACCAAACACTTCTTTTCTTTCCTCTGTGAGAGCATATTCTCTCCCAATGAGAGTCACTTCTCTGTAAGTGTTTTCTTCTCTCCTTCGTGAGAGAGCCAACTTAGCTTGGATCTACAATGCGTTGTTCAATGTAGCAATTCCTAATTGGAATTATATGGATTTCTCTAGATTGGTAAAGATTTGGGCAGTAAATATCGGTCGATTGGGGTATTAATTTCCATCTACCTAGACCGAGTCAGCTAGCAATTGTTTTGGTTTTGGAAGCAGTGCATTCATTCCTAATCTAGTTATCCCCAGTCATTTAAAAGGTCAGTGCCTGTAGTTTCTATGGCAGATCAGGCAATTGATGAGTTGGTAGTCCTTAGGATCAATCGATGGATCTATCGCACATGGAACATGGAAGTAAGTTGGTTGGGGAGGTTTTGGTGAATTGGAACCTTAACAGGTGGGGAGTGCAGAATATACTCAGAGCATTATGGCAGGAATTTGGAACTGTTGAGATCAAGTGGGTAAAGGATAATTTGTACATAATTTTTGTTGCGGATGAAACTACTGTAGAAAAAATTCTCAAACAAGTACCTTGGGCAGTAATGAAACAGAATTTTTTGGTTCAAAGATGGCCCAAGGAATTGGCTCTAAAGGAAATTGATTTGGCAATGGTTCTTTTCTGGATTCAGAGACGGGGAATACCACCATGTCTAATGTCCAAAGCCAATGTTCGACGAGTCTTGCAGAAGGTTGGTCGGTTTGTAGAATTTGAAGACTCGGCTAAAGCTCGTGGATTCTTACGAGTGCATATACTTGTTAATACCCTTAACCCATTACTCACTGGTTGTTGGGTGCCACCAACGGGTGGGAAGGGAACTTGGGTGGAATTCAGATATGAACGACTATAAGACTTTTGTTACAGATATGGAAGAATTGGTTATACTATCACTAAATGCTCCTTTGAGTAGACCATAAGTGGCGCAACGGGTTTTGGCGAGTGGATTAAAACGGCTCCCATTCATGAGGAACGAGACAATCCCAAACCACTAATCATTGGCAGATGGGATCGTCGATATGCTAGTACGGTTAGAAGTTCCCAGAGGAATAAAAACTTAACTCAATTTGCGGTGAAATGTCTGGGTAATAGAAGTGGCGAAGGTAGTAGTCGTGTGGAGATGGAGAACCCAGAATCTTTACCACAGAATAAAAGAGGTTGGATAAGACACCAGAGAAGTACTACACAGGTAGTAGATGTTGAGGATACACAGTTAAAGCAGGAGAGCCATCACTACTCACCTTGATATGCTCTGTTGGAAGCAGTCATGAGTGTCCTTCACCGGTATACTCTTTTGTCATGCCACAACATCTAGGTGGTTCGTCTTCTATAGTAATTGAGGAGATTCATGAGGAGAGGCTAAAGGACAAATATACAACTCTAAAAATTAGTGAGGGGAATGAAGGTACTTCTTCGAAACGGGGTGCAGAATTATATCAGATGGAATACCATCAATATTCTCAAAAAAAAGAAGTAGAAATTTGGAGAGCAGAGAAGAAAGGAAAAAAAGTATTGCCACTCGGTTAAAGGGAATGAGTATAAGAGAGAGGTGTTTGATGATTGAGAAAGCTTTGTATGCTGAAAAAGATCTGACAGCGAGACCGGAAGATTATCAGCTGATGTGGGAGGCTCTAGAAGAGGAAGCGATGGTTGAGAAAATGAAACTTATGGCACGGAAAAGGGAGCAGAATGCTTAAGGTGGTGGCGGCTGGCCTAAAACTGCCGCCTGATCACCATGACTTCTTTATTTTGGAACTGCCGTGGTCTAGGGTCGAACACGGTAGTTTGGGCCCTTTATGGGCTCATCAGGAAATATCGATACTCTATGATCTTTCTGTCCAAGACCATGATGAAGGATCATAGCATTGATGGGCTTCGTAGATGGATAGGTCATTGGTAGATTTAATTTGCCTCTTGTTGGTAGGGCCAATGGTCTTAGTCTTTGGTGGAATGATTTATTGGAGCTAGACATTATTTTCTCATTGCCTCATATCATCGATGCACGAGTTCGGAAAGTAGGAGAGACTAGGTGCGTCAGGGTGACCAGCGTCTACGACACATCTTATGGGGAGGAAAATGATGCATTTTGGAACTGGATGAATTCTTATTTTCAACCTTCAGCTAATCTGTGGTTATACGGAGGTGATTTTAATGAATTTCCTTAGGACTTTGAGAAATCGGGCGAGGCAGTGGTTCTCTATAATCGACTACGCTACTTAGCTAGCTTTATGGAAGCAACGGAACTCATGGACCTTGAGTTTAGCGGACCTCGATTCACTTAGAGGGGGACTATGCATGGGGAGCTGGTGGAGGAGCGGATTGATATGGGGCTTTGTAATCAATTTTGGTTAGTTAATTGGCCTAATACAGCAGTCATACATGCTCCGGTTGTGGGTTCGGATCATTGCTCGATAGTTATCCGTCGTGAATCGATCTAGAGTAAAAGAAAACCAAGGTTCTGCTTTGAAGCCTTTTGGGCTAAAGATGAGGAGTGTCGGAAGCTAGTTGAATCCTGTTGGCATCGAATATGCACAGGAGATCCTATGACTAGATGGCAAAAACGGCTTAATGATTGTAAATCTCGACTCATCAAATAGAGTAAAGGGAAGTTTCATTTGCACAATAGGTAGATTGATGATCTCATGAATCAACTTGGCGAGTTGCAAATGAAATGGGGACTAAATGCAGCAACAATTAAACAAAAAACCATACTCCTTGACAAGCTTTAGGAACAGGAGGAACTTTTTGGAAACAACATTCTCGGGTTCAATGGCTTCATGAATGTGATGCTAACATGGTTTTCTTTCATCAATCTACATTGCACAGGCGACGAAGAAATAAAGTTGAGACCATAAAGCGGGATGATGGAAGTTAGGAGGATAACCTAGTCTGTGTGCATAAGTTGTTTGATGAGTATTTTCTTAAGTTATTCACATCGTTTAGGCAAAAAGATTGGGGGCTGGTTTAGGATTGTGTTACTCAGATGGTCACTGATGATATGAACCCTGCATTGATGATGGCGATCACGAAAGACGAAATCAAAGAGGCTGCTAGGCAATTAGGTAGTTTAAAGGCACCGAGTTTGGATGGTTTTTCTGGCATTTTTTACTATTCTTTCTGGGATTGTCTGGTTACAGAGGTCAATGAGCTTATTAGATTCTTGATGACATGTGATGTGTGTTCGTGGCAGATTAATGGTACTCATATTGTGTTGATCCCAAAAGTTCCGAACCCGAAGTCAATTTCTCAATTTAGGTCTATTAGTTTGTGCAATCTTTTTTATAAAGTTCTCTCTAAAGTTTTAACTAATAGATTGAAGCCTATCCTTCCGAGTCTTATTTCTCCCATGCAGAATGTGTTTGTTAGGGGACGTCAAATACAGGACAATATTGGTATTGTGCATGAGCTATTCCATTTCCTCAAGCTTCGGAAAGCAAAACGTAAGTTTGAATTTGCTATTAAGCTTGATATGCAAAAAGCCTATGACCGGGTGGAATGGGATTTTCTGCCATTATGGAAAAGATGAGCTTCCACCCAGGCTGGCGTAAACTTATTCTTGGGTGTGTCAATTCGGTTATTCAGTCTGGAAAGAAGTTTACTCATTCGTGTGGCTTATAGCAGGGTGACCTACTTTCTCCGTATTTGTTTCTGTTGGTTAGTGATGTATTATCAAAGAAGATTAGTCAGGCTACTGAATCTAAACAATTGCTTAGGGTAAAAATGAGTGTTAATGGCCCATCCATTTCCCATTTTTTCTTTGCTGATGACACCTTAATTTTTTTAAAGGTTGATAAGGATAATTGCATAAACTTGGGGCATTTAATTTAGTCTTATTGCTTGGCCTCGGGACAGGTGGTGAATCTTAAGAAATCATGTGTCTTTTTCAGTGACAATACCCCACAGGCCGTCCATGAGGAGTTGGGGAATGCGCTTGGTATCCCTGTGGTCTCTGATCCTGGGACTTACTTGGGAGTTCCTGTTATCTGGACTCATTCAAAATGTCGTGGTCTTGCGTATGTGAAAGGTCGATTACTGAGCAAACTTTAAGGGTGGAAGCAATGCACTATCTCTCAAGCTGGTAGAGAGGTGTTGATCAAGGCTATCGCTCAAGCTATTCCACAGTATCCAATGAGTCTTTTTAAGTTTACGGATGCTTTTTGTAATAAGCTGGACTCCATAATCACTAAATTCTGGTGGGGGCAGATATCAGATGGAAGGAAAATCCATTGGGTTTCTAAGCATGTCTTAGGACTCCCGAAATATAATGGAGGTATGGTTTTCAGGAACTTCAAATAATTCAATGATGCTCTTCTTGCCAAGCAATGTTGGAGATTGCTTTTTTTCCAACCCGAATTCGCTTTGGGCTTCGATTCTTAAAGCTAGGTATTTCCCGCATTGTTCTTTCCTAGATGCTAAGAGAGGTAGTCGGGCTTCTTGGGCTTGGACCAGTTTATTGGTGGGTCGAGATATTTTGTTGAAAGGGGCGCATTGGCAAATCATGGATGGACGAACTGTGCGGCTGTGGGTTGATTGCTGGCTCCCATCACTTGATGCCGGCCATCCTAATCCATGTGGTGAAGTGCTGGTCACCATGAATACTCAGGTCGACTCTCTTATTTATGATTCATCTAGATTTTGGGATCTTACTTACCTTCAACCATTTGTCTCGATTGAGGATCTTAATGCTATTTGTGATACACCTATTGGTGATAGTAGTGAGGGGATCGGTTCATCTAGCTGGCTACCAATAATGGAAAATATTCTATGAAAATTGGGTACCACTGGCTGCAATCTTAATTGCCCTTCCCACCTTAGCGAAATTTTGCTTTTTCTCGAGTTATACCGAGCCGTTTGTGGAAATTAATCTGGAAGTTACAAACCTCGGCAAAGATTCGGCATTTTTTGTGAAGGACCCTTCATGGCGCTTTGCCCATAATGACGGCTTTGTATCAGCGACATTCTACCCTAAATCCAATTTGTCCAATATGTCGTAACCAAGTGGAGTTTATCGAGCATTTATTCTTACAATGCCCATAGGTGGAAGCAATTTGGTTTGGTGGGATTCTTAATCTTCGCATTAACAGGTATGAAGTCTCAAATTAGGTGGAGTGGTTATTTTCGTTATCAAATTTACCTGTTGGTTTGCGTGGAGATCGAATATATCTACTCTCATATGTTGCTTTTACATGTTGGCACATTTGGAAAGCAAGGTGTTATTTTTTGTATGATCACCAACCACTCACTCCCTCCAAGGTCTTACGTGTTATCACTAATTCGATCGGAGCTTTCTTTAAAGCTGTTCGCAGGAATCCGAATCCCCCGGTACCTATGACCATAGCTCATCAGTCGTCTCGCTGACGCTCTTCTTCCGCACCATACTTCAAAATTAATGTAGATGCTAGTTGGTCGACTCTATCGAGATCTGTTTATATGGGGATTGTTATTCGGGATGTTGAGGGTTCATTCATCGCTGCGATTAGGCATGCCATTCAAGCTTTGTCTAAGGGTGCTGCTGAAGCTTTGGCAATCTTGAAAGGTTATGAGTTTGGTCTGGTAAAGGGGCTTACAAGGGTTGTTGTTGAATCTGACTTCTATGACTCCATTAGCTCTTTTTTAGGTTCGATTGAGAATGGTAGGTGGGAGGCTTACCCTTCCTTAGTAAATGCTAAACGGTTAGGGGAGTCTTTTCATGACTGTCGTTGGTCTTGGATCCCAAGATCAGCCAATATGGCACGTGCGGAGATGTGTGATCATCCCTGGGTCAATAGACCTTCATCTTCGTTAGTTTTTGTGCTTCAAAGTGATGGTCTACCCTGTCCTCCGTGATGGGTTCAAGATAGTAGAGGGGGCGACAACATAGTGTGGCTATGTTGTCCTCCTTGTAACTCCCTCTGTTGTCCTTCTTTGTTTTTTGCTTCCGTGTTTGCTTGCCTCGTGGTAGGCTTTCCTTGTTTGTTTGGCTTCTTAGCCCGGGTTTTGTATTTCCAGTTTATCAAAACAAAAAAGAAGCATCGCGATCGCCTGTTTAGCCCCGGCTCATCGATCCGTACCCTTAAATCATACCCAATAATAACGCACCACGTACGCAGCCCGACTAACAAGCAAACCGCTCCTTTAAGCTTCAATTCAAGCCGTCGATCTCCCATTTTGACTCCACCACATCCAACGGACACTCGTCGCCTCGTCATCGATCCGCGTCTTCTCCTTATCAACGACCTATTTAAATACCAGACTGAACCCATCCCTTCGCATCCCAACAAGTTTCCAAAGTCCCTCCCAAATTCGTCTTCTCAAAGTTTCCGTTTGTTTCCCGAGAAAAGGAACAAGAAAATTTCCGATGGCGCCCAAAGCTGAGAAGAAGCCCGCAGAGAAGTCCGCCGTGGCAGAGAAAGCCCCCGCCGAGAAGAAGCCCAAGGCCGGGAAGAAGCTCCCAAAGGAGGCCGGAGCCGCCGCCGGAGACAAGAAGAAGAAGAGATCGAAGAAGAGCGTGGAGACCTACAAGATCTACATATTCAAGGTCCTGAAGCAGGTCCACCCAGACATCGGAATCTCCAGCAAGGCCATGGGAATCATGAACAGCTTCATCAACGACATCTTCGAGAAGCTCGCCCAGGAGTCGTCCAGGCTCGCCAGGTACAACAAAAAACCGACTATCACTTCGAGGGAGATCCAGACGGCGGTGAGATTGGTGCTGCCCGGTGAGCTCGCCAAGCATGCGGTGTCTGAGGGTACTAAGGCGGTGACTAAGTTTACCAGCTCTTGAAGAGTTAGGGTTTCTGGGTTTGGATTTGAGATGGGTTGTGAAGCATTTAGGGTTAGGGTTACGGGTTTCTGGGTTTTAACCCTTTATGTAAGTATAAGTACTGATGCTGTTGTTCTATTGCGGTTTAAATTCTGAATGAAAGTTTGATTTATCCAACTGATCCATTTCTTCTGTTAGTGATTACCCAGTTGATTAATTTCTTCAATTTGATATTTTGTATGTGATTCTTGTTTCGATATGAACTAGTGTGGCAATAAATTAGAGGTTTTGCAGTGAATTTTCTACCATATACTTACTAAATTTGCAACAAAACTGGGGAAGTAACATCTCATATTATTGAAAGATTGCACTCACAGGTGGAGTCTAAATTTAACAAAATATTTTTTTAACGAGAAACTAAATTTATATTTTTTTCTGATACTATTCATTATACATTTGAAAATAATTTTTCATTAAAAATGAAGTTTTTTTAGATTTTTAATTAGTTTTCCTTTTAAATAAATCATTAGATAAAATACCATCACCATTATTCAAACCATTCTTAAACAAATTATTGAATTGTCAAAGCAAACCATAAAATTACAAAATAACTAGTTAAATGAAATATTTTCTTTTTATACATATGTTTCTACAGCACTTCCGTAAGTTTTAATTTTTGAAATACATTTACCTCACTGGACCTGGGTTTTTGGTGCATACAAGTATATTTGTTGGAATGTTGATGTATAATATAACTAATAGAATGTTTAGAGTAGCCCCATTTTTGGTTTGGTATTGCTACCGCACATGACGTCGAGAATCATGATGATATTATTGAGGAACGTCTTTGTCAAAATATTTTTGCTTCTCATTTCGGGCAATTGGCAATAGTTTTTCTATTGGTTGCAACAAAATATTTCTTTCATAATTTGATTTCGAGTTACCTGCTTCTATTTTTGTGTCCTTTCTTCTTCCTTGCTTCACTAACTTTGAAACTGAAATTAAATTTCTAGAGAAAGACAAAACCAAATCCTAATGTTATTTTAAAAGTCCCCACTGCTTTAATACTGGAACATATCCGATTTCCTAAGTAGATAAATTGCTCATTGCCTCTCGGCTTTTTGTGATTTAAGTAGCCCTGCATGCAATTGGTAATGTGAATTGAAGCATCTAAGTTAATTCACCATGTATTACTAGGATCAAGATTCATGACACACATAAGCAACGAGTACCTTTCTTTTCCAACCATTTCTTGGACTTGGCACATTCTTTCTTCTTGTTGCAGAAGAAGCATGCATCCTTGTCGGCAAAACTCTTCATTGGTTTCTTTCCCGTCACCCTAAGACAACGTTTGCTCTTCTTGGCACATTGCTGCTCGGTAGTTAGCAAATGAGCAGTTTCCAGTTTCTCAAGCAAATGAGCAGTTTCCAGTTTCTCAAGCTTCAATCTCAAGTTCATTGGAGGAACACTTTTCCTTATGTGTGTTATAGGAAATCTTGAATGGTCCATACTCAAAAGGGAGAGAATTGAGAATGAAACTGAACAAGAATGACTTAGAAATCTCTATCTTCAACGACTTAAGTTGAGTTGCAGTGTCCCCCATTTCCATAATGTGCTCACACACACTTTTGGAATTGTCGTGCTTCATGCCCGAAAGTGTGCTAGCAACCGCCTTATTAGATTTCACAAAATGTTCCTCAATTGCTTTCATGAAATATGTCACCTTATCACATTTTGATTGAACCCTGTATGCTCTTGCTCACACAGGATTTGTGAGCATCAAACTTAAGGAATTTAGATTGCTTCCACCAGTTATACGCAATCTTGTCTTCTTGAGTGCTTGATTCTGTGTTAGCACTATCAACTCCTAAACGCGCATAAGAGTTTAATTAGCACCCAATAAATGAATTAAATTTTAATTCACAGTTGTGTTGGGTATGATCGGAAATTTCAGTTATAAAAGTAAAATTTGACCATGACTAACTGGCATTAGGACAAAGTATTTTTGTCTAAATAAAACAAAAGTGCAGTCACAAATTTCTGAGTTACATGGTGGGTTTTTGCCAAACACTTTTCTGGGTCCCGACAAGTTGTTCTCCGGGCCAACCTTAATCAACTATAAAGGCCCATCTGAAATAAACAGATTAATGTGATTAGCTGTCTTTTATTAATTCTAATACTGGAACAATTAATAAATTGGGTCCATAGCTCAGTGGTAGAGCATTTGACTGCAGATCAAGAGGTCACCGGTTCGAACCCGGTTGGGCCCTCGTATGCCCTTTTTTAATATGGTCTAACTAATTATCATATTTACTAGCATTTACTCACATACTTTCCATGTATAAATACACTTTTTAGAAAAATGAGAGGGGGGGGGGGGTGGGGGAGGTTTTTGTTTTTATTTTTATTTTTTTAATTATAAATATTGGAGGTATTTTAACATCACATGTATGTGATGCTTCAATAAAAAACAGTAAAATTTGGACTAGGAAATTACATTATTACCCATCATTTTTTTTTGTGTGATAGAAGACTAATTTTTCTTTTCACCCTCTTTTGGTTGACAAAGAGGATTTCATTAATTAGTAGAGATTCTTCCAATATTGAAAATGAATATTTTCTCCCCTTTCATTTTTGTAAAACGTATATAAAGATCCAATGAAATATTCCATCATGTCTAATATTCAAAGAAAAAATGTATTTCGATAAAAAAAAAAACAAAAACTATTTATTCGTCTCATAGGAAGGATTTTAGATCATTTTTGGATCTCGTAATCTGAAATTGACAGATTGAGAAATTCGAACTGTTTAAGAGCAGGATAAAAAGATCTGGACCGGTGATTTATGTAAGATGGATGACTAGAATGAGCTAATGGGGATAGTAGAGTTCAAAATGAATGGTCCATGTTTCTCAACTCATGGGCTTCGAATTGTAAAATTTAGAGAGGATCTTGATTCTCTAATAAGGCAAGACACCTCGATAAAAGAAAACTTCTATTTAGTGATAAGAGAAAATAGTACAAAGTTTAAAAATAAGAGAGAATAGCTTTGGGGTAAAAAGGGAAAAAGCAAAAATGGCAACCATCCAACCATTTTAAACAAAAAATCAAAGTTGGACATCTAGTCTAAGAAAATTTAATAGGAAGATGCATATGAGTTAGTTAAGAGCATTTATTCTTATTTTCGAAGTTTAGAGTTTAATTATCAGCCCCTCACTTATATAAAAAGTGATCTCATATGAGGGATACAATCAAAACTCGATCTTCCATGATCTATTCGAGTATGCTGTCACATCCCGGTCCGGGCCCTCACCACATCTCGACCTCGATTATACCGTAGCACGATATTGTTTGCTTTGGGCCTCGACCACGCCATTACGGTTTTGTTTCTAGGAACTCACACGAGAACTTCCCACTGGGTCACCCATCATGGGATTGCTTTCACGCGAACTCGCTTAACTTCGGAGTTCCGATGAACTCCGAAGTTAGTGAGCTCTCAAAAGACCTCGTGCTAGGTAGAGATAGAAATATACATATAAGGCTTACAGGATCCACTTCCTTAGACGATATGAGATGTTACATATGCCAAATTAACTAGTACAATTGCAATGCAATAAAAAATAATTTTCACAGTGCCCATGATAACCTGTTTCTAATCTCATTTCACCACTTATTTGACAAAAATTGAGTTCTATTAGTTAAATGAGAATTTGAGTTATAGGGAAAGTAATATTAAAATTGAGCCATTGCAAAAACTGCGAACAAAAAAAACCCTAAAAAACGTAAGCTCCATGTGATTAACTGGCTAAGTTTGAGTTTTACAACAGCAGAGTGAGATTAGAATCGAATTATAGCGGTATTGCAAAAAATAAACCATAACAAAACAAGGAACCAAAAACAACAGTGGCTTCGCCCGGGTTCGAACCGGAGACCTTCAGTGTGTTAGACTGACGTGATAACCAACTACACCACGAAACCTTGACGCTGAGGCTTTGCTTTTTAAAATATAAAACCATGAAGCAAATGACCGTATATAAACGAATCATTCTTTCACAGACTTCTTCCTCCGACTCTCTCTCATCATCTTCGGTTCGTAACTTAGAACTCCTACCGCCACTAGAAACCCTAACCCTCTCTCTCTCCACTTTCTCGCTCCTAGGGTTTCGTTTCTTCCCGCTGTCAAACAATATGCAGGACCCTCTAAGCATGTCCCTGGACGACCTCATCAAGACCAGCAAGAAATCGGGATCCGGTAACGCCCGAGGCCGCGGCGGCCGGGGGACCTCCGGACCCGGACCCGCCCGCCGCTTGCCGAATCGCGGTGCCAATCGTACGACGCCGTACCCGGCTGCGGCCAAGGTAGAAGCAAATCTCTGGCTTTGGCTCTGATCTGATCTTTTCTCCAGTTGAAATTGAATTGAGTTAATGATAAATTTTGGGAATTTAGGCGCCGGAGGCTGCGTGGCAACACGACATGTATGGGGATCTTGGTGCGGCGGCGTACGCGGCTCCAGCCGGAAGAGCATCGGCTATCGAAACCGGAACCAAGCTCTACATCTCCAATCTCGATTATGGCGTTTCCAATGAGGACATTAAGGTGGATTTCCCTGTTCTTTCAAAATTCTATATAAAAGCTGGATCTGTTTCTTAAGAGGGTGGTTTCGTTTGTGATTTATGATCAATCAAAATTAGGGGTTTTTAATGATCATTTGAGTTGTATTTGGATATTGGATTTACAACTAAATGTTTTGAATTTGGATTCTTATTATAAATTATTTTATTAGATTGGAGTTTTTATGTTAGCCGAATAAATGTTAAGCTAATCGGCTAATCCACATGTAATTAAGATAAGGTTGATAAGTCTGCGGAACATCGAAAATCCCTTTAATGCCTTTATTTAACAGTCTTTGCAAATAACTAAGAATTTGAATCCACATTTGTTGCTACAATCCTGATTTGTTTATTTATTAGTGGGTTTCTGGTTACAAATTTGATTGATGATTGGAGTTTGAGTTCTGTTACATTTTACAATTTGTGTTTTCTAAAGTCAAATTATTATGCCAGGAATTGTTTTCTGAGGTTGGTGACCTGAAACGTTATGGAGTACATTATGACAGAAGTGGGAGATCAAAGGTACCTTGTCAAGTTTTGCATTGTTGGTCCTTCTGGAGAATTCTTTGTGTCCTGCTGTAGTTTAAAACAAAGCTCTTTTTCACAGGGAACTGCAGATGTAGTTTTCTCACGACGAACGGATGCTGCAGCGGCTGTTAAAAGATACAACAATGTTCAGCTTGATGGGAAGCCGATGAAGATTGAGATTGTAGGAACGAACATTGGGACACCTGGAGCCCCACCTGCTTTCCCCCCTGCTGCAAATGGAAATTTTGGAAATCGGAATGGACCACCCATGGGGTATGTTGTGTGCCATACATTTTACTTTAGAATTAGCTCTCAATGATGTTTGTGCTTATACATTTTTTTTGCTTTTTAGTAAATCACTTTAAGGAATAAGAGGTTATTTTGATTTTTGATTGCTATAAGAAGCTCTTGGCTTTTGTTCTAGGCATTAGTTAATCTTTCTAGCCAACATTTGTCTGGAATAAGAATGCATCAAGGTGCAAGTTTTGATTTTGCATCTGCTGGATGTTGTTGTGCCTATTTACGACTTTGCATTATTGGCTTGGTTTTATTATGGGCTGTAGTCTTTAAAATCTTTAAACATGTTGTAACTGAAAATTCTAAACAAATAAATAATCTTGAATTAATGACTTTGATACTTATTTATTTAGATTAAAATGCATTTGTATGATATTTAAACTGATGTTCCATCATGCCTAAGCTAACCCTTCAAATATAGCTGATGTTTTGTCTCATACATGTGTTTGAGTCATGAGATGTAGCAATTGGGAAGACTGAGCGTCTATTATTGTTGGATGTGCGTACGTATTATCTGTGCCACATTTTAATTTATCTGAAGCTGATTATGTATTTGTTGGGGCTGTTGAGCAGGGGACAAAGTAGGGGTGGTGCATTTGGACGTATACGCGGTGGCGGTGGCGGCGGCGGTGGCGGGCGTGGTGGCCGTGGTCCTAGAAGGGGCGGTGGTGGACGTGGAAGTGGAAGAGGCCGTGGTGAAAAGGACCAAAAGGTTTCTGCTGAAGATCTTGATGCCGAGCTAGAGAAGTACCATGCAGCAGCAGAATCAATGCAAGAGTAAAGTGAAATCAGCTGTATGAAGTGTCGGCTTTATTACATCTTTTATGGCTCACTGGTGCTTGGTGATTTTCTGTATTTCTATCAAAACCCAATTTCCTTGAGAGATAAATCATGCGTAGGAAGAACTTTTAGAATCTTGCTTATGTAGTTTGGGCACTTATTATGTTTGTTTAGACATGGGTATGAGATATGTGGGTTAATGGACAGTTTCAGTACTTTGAACTGAACTCTCACTTCATTAGCTTCTTCAATCCCTTTTTATACATTCAACAAGTTGGCGTTATGGAATTGGGAAGCTTATCTCTCTGTTTCTCCGCGCACAAAGACAAAACTGGCTGCAGAACGTGTGAAAGGATTGAGCCTTAGAGTTCACACACTGCTGCAATTGAGTTTGGTTGGTTCTACTGCATGTAAAATGGCGTACTTCGCATGAGGTAGATATCTCTGTTTTCCTTGGCTTTGAAATCTTGTTATTTATTTAAGTTTTGTCCTTTGTGTTTGGTGCAGTTGAGCTGGTTATATTTCCTGCTAATTTATGGTAGCGTTCCCTTATACCCCGACCCAGAAATGATAATTTAATTGGCATTGATCCTGACATTATGCGTTTAGAGAAATTGTATGGACTAAACAACTAGCCGGTTCTACATGTAGAACTGGTTACTGAAGTCATAGCGATGATGTTCAGAGATGTGCGGTGCCTTCAGGCTTGCTAGTCCTGGAAGGAGTTCCAGATATGCCTGCCTTTTGATGGTCTTTATTCGGTGTCTCGGTAAAGACAGCTTTAATTCTGATTGTATTCTGGGTCAGAGTTAATAGTTGCTGCTTTGATTGTGAATATTACCCTTTTGTTGCCTAGATCAGTAGATTGCATTGGAGCATGGTTCTATCTTTCCATGGTTGGAGTTCCATATGCACTATTGAATACGGCTGGTTTTCCGTCCAAGTGACTGGATTAAACTTGTTTGAGTTTCTGAGATTAGAATTTTTACCTTCTGCTATGATTCATTTTTGTGTTCGGTTCCTTGAATTCTGAAAGTAGCTCACAACATGCCATGTGAACTTATGTACATATGATCTTTATGTTTTGATGTTGGAATTCATATAGGTACGTTTCAACTGAAATGGCTTGTGTTTTCGCTGTTTGATTCGTTTGTGTCGATAATTGAGTAGAAATACGATGCTAGAGAGGCGAAGAGAAGCGGCGAGAGACAGGTCATGCTAAAAAAATATCCCGGTTTTCAAATCTAATGGGTCGCTCGCGGTATTTTCTTTGATTTGGCAATGGCTTTCCGGGTATATTTTGTGCACTTATCTCTATCTCTCTCACCGATTGATTAATTATGTGATTCACGGAGGTAGTATGGAGCAAGAGATGAGGTTATCTCGTATTAGAGGAAAAACAATACCCTAGGCAGACAAAAAATTTGCTAATATCTACCTTCGCAATCCAGTCTTGTTAATCTAGCTATCCATGTACGTTTCTTGTGTGTATCGGTTGGGAAACACTGCTAATTTAGCTAAGGGCGGCACGAGCCGGTTTGGCTGGTTCCAACTGACTGAACTACGGCTGCCTTACTGATTCAGGCAGGATTGGACTAGTAAATGGCATCCAAACCAAACTGTTTGGTTTTGTATCGGCAATGAGACAATGCCCTAAATTCAGTACCAAACTTAATGAACTTGAAAGGACGAGTGGTCTCGGCTGCGAAATGGATGTGCATGACGAACATGTGAGTCGTTTTCAATCTCCAGTTTCAGACAGCCGTAGATCAGTCTCGTGCCATTCACGACCCCGAATCGACACCAAAAGTTCGGCCAAATACAACCTCCGGTCAACAACCCTCTGGTAGACGCCAAAAGTTCAGCCAAATACAACCTCAGGTCGACGCCAAAGGTTCGACCAAATGCAACCTCCGGCAGGCATATTGCCCACGGAGCCATTCGCCATTCCATAAACTTGTTGAAATTCATGCAGGAGCTCTTTCGGAACGTGTAGGCCTACAAAGTTTCCGGCAAGGAAATTTCTTGGATACGTTTTAGCCCCCTTCTTTAATTTTAGCTTAGATTTGCATTTGCGTAATAAGAGATGCAATCTGAAAACAATTAAAACGATCCATAAAGTAAAAAGCAAATAAAACAAGTTATTGAGAACTTGTAATTGACGGCTAAAAGGGGAACAAACAATACACCAAAGTATTGTTTGCAATCTAAATTAAGAAGAAACAATTTCGGTTCCGTCGAAAGAGGGCAAAAGGGGAACAAAATCACAAATACAATTCACTACAAACAACTTTGCGCTTCGGTTCCTAGGGGTTTAGTTTTTTAACTTTACAGGAGGCTACATCTTTCGAAATTGGCAGCATTTTAAAACTTCGGCTTTCTCAGCTTCCCCAAACTTGAGTAGATTAATCCTAACAGAGAATACAATACTGCCTTTACGCAATCCATTACGAAATTCCAACAAGAAGCGGGCCAGTACCATGGATATAGCAATCGGAAGAACAGGCTTATGAGATGCCGAGGGTATCTGCCAACCTGCACCGTAGAATCAGAGTTACGCTCCCACACACGCAAACATGGCGTAATGTTCCGAATCTAATCATGGGAAGACACCGGTAAGTCCTTGCATATGCATGACTTCTAAATGCATCATGCAAGGCTCTATAAGTTTATTCTATCTCAGAGTTAGCCATCAAATTATCAATAAAAATCTCCGCTTTGCTCACATCCAACCAGAGATGGGACTATTGGCAACAAAATAATCTGTATAACGCACAATATTTAGGATAACGAAGACGATAACATATACGATTGCACTAAATTATCCAGTTTAACCAGAAAACTGTGATAGGGAATAATATACTCACGGGAAAAAGCAAATCTAATGCATCCCATGCTGCATGACGAACAGCTCTTGTAGGGTACATTGGACCTCCAGGAGAAGTGAAGCTATACAGACAAGCCTTTAACCTTGTGCTTGTGGCCATTCTCAGCTCCATTCCTGTTAAATTAGAAATACATTAAGCAGAACACAAAGCGACTATAATTCCAGGTTCACATAATTCCTTAAATCTTAAACCTGAAAAAAAGGGTTCGAATATTACCCTGGAGAACTTTTATGTGTGAAAGGTAATGCAGCAATACTGGTTCCACCTTCAGTTTTTGAAGCTGACCAGTCAAGAAAATATGAACATATTAGATTTGTTAATATATGAATATCACTGCAGTGTGTGAACAAAACTAAACAAAAGTTCTGCTGTGGAGAGTGTTGCGAATTTGACCTGATCGGCTAGTTCAATAACAAAGAAGTCTGCTGAACTACCAACCAAAAAAGCGTTCGGAAAAAGAGGAAATTCCCTTAAGAAGCGGTCGAGCTTGTCAACTGCATGAATCAACACATTAATGGACAAATTACAATTTCTTAATTCAAAGGCTGAAGATGCATTACCAGAAAACCCACCTGAGTTATAAAAAATTATAAACCTGGAGAGTAAAAGAAATAGATCTCGCTGGACCTGAGAATTATTGAAGAATTCTAAAGTTAATTTAAAAGCGTCTACATAGATATTGGTTGTTTAATCACTATCATGGCTAGAAGTTATCCACACCAAGTAAAAAAGTTCCCTGGAAAATTGGAAAGGGAATCTCTGACCTGTACAGGAATTTTATTTAACCGTTTGGGCTCCAAAGCAACATCCTCAAGCAGATACTGAAATAAGGGGTGGGTTAAACACAAAATGAAATAAATATTTCATAAAGTTCTCCAACAGAAGCATATAAATTTCAACTTTGAAAGGGCTCTTACACAAAAAAGGGATTGGAATCGCCTTGCATTTGATTGAGTATCAATCCTGCAAATTTGCACACAGTACCATTAATAAGTTTCCTAGACAGAACAAAAAGAAACAAATGAAACCTTGGATGGGGGAATTCCCATTTCAAATTAAAAAAGGAACATAATTCATAACCCTAAGTTGCCATTTTGTCAGCACATATGGATAGTAGCAGCAGCAGCCAAAAGAAAGAAAAAAGTTGGGCAATGGGAACAAAGCAGACAGACCATTCCACATGTCCACAAGAGTTGCTTTGGTAGGATACTATTAAACTCTTCATGTCATACCAGGTTCCTTAAAAAAAAGTCCATTTCTATCTTTGCTGCTTTTGAAATCGAAGACACATAATTTATTTTCACAGAACGAGCAACACCTACCTAACATCACACTATGGAGGAACGGAAACACACATAAATATATAAGGACGCAAGAGACAAGAGATTCTGTTTTTACATAGTATTTCAACTATGGGAGTCCCGTTGAAAAGTGAATAAAAGGCACTACAAAATCAATAGACATTTCACAATACTGCAAGGCCATCTACATCCACTTGTAACTCCAACGACTCCAATCAACCATTAAAAAACAACAAGCATGCACTTATATTCGTACCAGAAAACATTTGTTGCACCTTCAACAAGAGCAGATGAGTAACGAAGAAGTACTTCAGAGTTGTCAAGTTGAACCTCAAACAGCTAGCAAAAAAACTATATTAAATCCTGTCGGCATCACAGTGGATTAACTAAGGCAACATAGTTAAGAAGTAAGAATCAGCTTCAAGTACGTGAACAAAAACTTCATTCATAGAATGTCTGAAAACCAACCGTGTCAATCATTTAAAATAGAACTCGGTAATAAAGAATGTTGATAACTTCCAAATCAATTTCAATGAGTTTGACAAATTTTCAAGGCCATTCTACATACTTTTCCAGTTTAACAAATACAATTTAAGGCCTTATGCGTCATCCACGTGAATAATAGGTGAAAGCTCCAAACGTAAACAGAAACAATACGATTTTCTCAAAACAAATCACCAACCAGGAGAATTTTGTATCCAGAATGGCGACTTTAAAATAGAATGAAAAAGATCAATACACTGGGTGTGCGTTGACATACCCATTTGTGGAACAACAAGGCAAAAATATGAGATGCAAATGACTGGCTCCAAAGTTGGACAATCAAATCAAGGATGCGTTTTCCATTCTCAGGCACCCGAACATAATGATCAGTGAGCACATCATAAAAGCACAGCTGACCTTCAATGCCATCCTCAGCAGGAGAAATTGCATCCTCTTCCCTGCTGAGAATCATTTCTGACATGCAATGTGAATTCCACAAATGAGAACACCAATCATAAATATTGCACGTAACGCCTTACACTAGTAAACGACTTTCCACAACATACAAATTAGACTGCAATTAATCAATGTTCCTGTGAAGCACTTTTAGTTCCACGCGTATGCGGTAGTAAATACTCATTTGACATACATTACCAAGGTAGTAACGCAATGCAATGCAACGGTGCTCTTATAGTATTCTCATAATTCTTTCGATTGAACATACTATCCTGCTAAATAAACTATTTTCAGCCGATCCTAAGTATTACTGCTAGTAGTTATATCGTATCTAAAAAGTAAAAACTGTACTTTAAAATGCTAACCAATTACAGGCTTACAGCAGTATCACCGAAAACATTTGAATGTCAATTCCGAAAACAGACAACTCCATGGAGAATTTTCACTCACCTTTGGCTCGCTCATCGATCTCCAAAGCTATGTCAGCAAACAACTCCTGCAACAAATTCCGCCGCTGCGACGGAGAAGCCAGCGCCTACAACACATTAAACACACAGAAATCTCTACCAAGTTAGGCCTGAATTTCCCTAATCCTTTTCTTATGCCGGCAATCACATTAATAAACTCCCAAATCCAAAATCAAACGCTCTCCAAATCCAAACATTCTATTCACAATCCCAAATCAAACATTTTCATAATAATTACCAGAGCGAAATCCGTATGAAAGATTTTCCGTTTGCTTCCAAACAAAAAAACTCTGAAAAAATTCAGAAACTTTTACAGTAATTTACAAATTCTGATATCCAACAATTTAATTAATTTACGAATTCTGACATCGAACAATTAATTACCAGTATCTCAACTAAATTCAAATAACTGTATCAGAGTCAACTGTGGCAGGAATTTGATTCAATTATTCATTAATTCAATTACTTTCCTAGATTTGCTCAGTAATCAAACGGGAAACAAAGAGTTTAATATACCCGCTGGAGCTTCTTCTCGATCTCTTGCGTCAGCGCGTCGAGATATGCAGAGCTTCGAGGCGAGGAAGAAGCTTGAGACATTCTGGTACAGACCGAATAGCAATAGCATCAAGTCCGAAACCCTAAATCCTTCAGATCCAAACGCGGCCTTAACCGAAACCGATACGGTCGTCGTCTCGGTAATTATTGAACGAGAGAGATACAGCGGAGCTGCTTTTTGCTCTTTGCCAATGAAAATTAAATTTAAAAAGGAAAGTAGTATTTATTTATCTAAATTAATAATAAAAAAGGGGAAATTGGAAAGTGGGGGCGGTGGTGATGTGGCGTGGCGTGGGCGGGAGGCAACGTGGTGGATGGGTGGGTGACAATGGAGGTCGAGGTCGAGTGCTGGACTGTACGGATTTACCACACGTTGTTACATATATAGTATTTTCTTTTTCCTTTTCCTTTTTGGGTATGAAAAGTTGGATAGTTGGATGGGGTGTGATTGAGTCGCTTGGGCCCACTGTTTAATATATCCACAAAATTATTGATATTTTGGTTAATATTTGAAAAATTGAAAATCAATGGGTGAAATGCAAACTTCATCTTATGTCAGCTAAATATACGAAAATCAATGAATATCGATCATACTTACCGATTCATTATAAAAATTTTACCGGAACCCATTGCATATTTCAAACTTTTGAATTTGTTTTGATTTTTTTTTTCTAATTTCAATTAAATTTGAATGAGTTGATATACATATTCATTGCAAATTTTCATAATTTCTATCAAGGCAACATTTTTTAATTTATTATTATTAAAGGAGGGGAAGGGTCTGAAAACATTACAATAATTTAAAAGATGAGGGAGTTCTAAACCCAAAACGTACTGGGATATCAGACACGGGCAATAATTGATATATTCATCAATATTTCAATGAATTTGCATATCGACATTCCACTTATATGGATATTTTAAACCATGCTTGAGAGAGGATGTAATTGGCTCACCGGTGGAATATGATTGGACCCCTTGTATATGCGCACATATTCTATTTGCTTTTCTTTTATATTACATTTTGAGATTCAAAGTTAGAACCTCTTCAAAATTTAAGACAAATATGATTGAATCACTTGGTTGAAAAAAGAAATTAATATGTCTCTAAAATGTTAATGGATTTCATTAGTTTACTTACGTACACTCGTGAAAAATTGTGAATTAGTGACTAATGAATCTTGTACTAGAAGGACTCACCATATAACAGTTAAAAATCGTTAAGTATTAGGTTCATGTGGCACACCCTAACCTATTGCAACCCCTAACCTATTGAAAGAACCCCATAACCCCAACCTAGTATAAAGTAGCAATCAACTGTATAAGAATTGTTAGTCTCACATCAAAGATGTTCATGAAGTAACAACTATATAAGAATAGTTCGTCCCACATCGGAAATGAGTAAAAATACGGCTCTCTACTAACTTATAAAAAGTATTTGTACTCCGGTTAAATGTTAAGTCAAAAATTATTTTATAAGTATAGTATTTATAATTATTTAGAATTCACGTCCGACAATTGTAGATACCATTTTAGTCATTTGGCATCTCTTTTTCGTTCTTTTCTTTGGACCAAGAAAGAGAAGGAAAAAAGGATGCCAAAATGCTAAAATGTCGTCTGCATATTAATTAGCTTAAATGGAATTTCGGTAAGTATGTTCTATCTAGATTTCAATTATTGTCATTGTGGTTTTATTTTTGCCAATTTAATTGTCCACATGCGGGAGTCCTTCACGGATGCAGCTGGTCCTCGGTTCATCGGGCATCTAATGAAGTGGCATATTATGTTGTGTTGCATCAAGGATCGGACAGAGTGATTTTGTATAGGTCGATAGACTCCCATCTTAGTATGTAAGGTTTTTGAACAAGAATGGATTGCCATGTCCGTCAATTGATGCAAGTGAGAGAGAAGTGTGAGGGCTATGTGTAGCAACATCTTTCTTATTTCTCTTTCCTTCTTTATGATATGTCTGTTTGCTTGTTCGTCTTCAGTTTGGCTTTTTGTTCTTTTGGCGTTTTTGCCCTGGTGATGAATTCCAGTTTAAAATGTAATTCTTTTTTTCGCTTATTTGATAAAGATGTTTGTTCTGAAATAATTTTTTGTTAGTGATTAATTGCTATGGTGGTTAACTCACTCCTCGGGCATTAAAAACCGTCTCACCTCTCATTAGACTAGTTTCGAGTAATTTGCTTGTATGAAAAGGGTATTAAAAAAATTAATTATTGTTCTTATATTTTGTGTTAGCAAATTATTGGAAATTGTTACGGAATGAGACTACAAGGACAACATAGATAAGCATGTCAATGAATGTGGTGGAGGACGATATTGATGAGTTTATAACATAAAGGTCCTATATTATGATTTTCCAATACGTCTCAGTCATTTATAACCCAAGATGTCCCCCAAGGGCACTCTATCTATACCATGTATACAATACTTGTATTTATCTTCTACTTCGTGGAATTGACTATGCTCTCATGTATTTACAATAATCATCATCTAACGGTCAAAGATAATTATATTAATATATGTATTTAATGCAATCATTATCTAACTGTCGAGATGGTAATTGTATTCATGACGTTGTTTAAGGTCCTCACAATCGTAAAGTACTCAGTCCTCTCATGGGTATGCTATGACATGAACTTATATTTGCTCACCTACACTAGAAAAAACTTTCATAAACTGGGTATGCTGTAGTGTGACGTCTTGATCCAATAATACATTATTATGTGTAATTTTTTCTCTACGTACCAATTCACATTGGAGTATGATTGAGTCACTTGTAAATAGGCATGTGCTGTTAGGACCTGAAGCTCTATTTATTTTTCTTTTATATATTATGACGTGGTGGGATTTAAAGTTGAAACCTCTCCAAATTTTAAGATGAGAAATATCATCAGATCAATCGGATGAAGTAAAGAAATGAATATGGCCCTAAAAGATTTAAGAATTTCATTAATTTGTTTACGTGGAAGATTATGAATTGGTGCTAACGGATCTTGTACTAGACGAGAGATTTTATGTTATTTATACAAGTAGAGTGTTTTTTTTTTTTTTTTTTTTTTTTTTTTTTTTTTTTTTTTCACTCAAATAATTGTTAAAAATGAATAGGTACTAGACTCAAAGGGCACACCCTACCCACAATGGGTGGGTAGGTTATAAGTAATTCTCTTTGTACAAGTTCATCCGTTTGGAAGGAGGAAGAGCAAGAACGATTACTATTCACAAATATATATTATTTTTTTCTATTGTTTTCTTTGTCTTATCCTCCACATGTCATTATGGCGTAAATTTTTGTTTAATTTGCAAGTGTATTGAACTTTGTAAGATTTTTAAGTGTGAACTTTGTAAGTTTTTCGAATTTAAAAAAAAAAAAATTGGTAATTTTTATGAGTTTTTTTAGAGTTGGATTAATTCTGACCGTTGAATTTTTCAATCTTTAAAATCAGAGGCTCCACAAAACGCCATATGGCGCAGCAGCAAAATTTTCAATTTTTTTAACTGTCCTGATCAACAAATCGTTGGAAATCTAACCGCTGTAAATGTATCAAATCTGAGCCATTTGGCTTTGGTGGGCTGCACGTAGGGGAGCCCCCTTGTTGTATGCTGCACTTAAAATTACCAATCGTTGGCAGGGCAGCCGCAAGGGCTCCTACCTTTCATCCAATTACTTCTCCTTTTCTTCACTGGTGGAGCCATTTTCTTTTGGTAACAAGACAGTTCAACCCAATTGCAAGGACAATTGGAGGTTGGTGGAGATGCTTTAAGGTTTGGTTTGGTATTGCTGTGCTTTGAAAAAAAGCTGCTGTGAGAATAAGCGGCTGTGCTGTGAGAATAAGCGGCTGTGAAATAAAGCCAGCAAAGTGTTTGTTAAATTTTTTTGTAAAAGTGCTTTTGGAAAAAAAAAAAAAGCAGTATCATAGTGTTTGGTAAACTTTTTTGTAAAACAGCTGTGACTGTGTGAAATGACCAAAAAGGGTATATTACTAGATGTGCTATTAATTTAATTTTCTTAACAAATAAAAATGAATTACTAAATATATTTTATTTTTAGAAGAAAAATATTTATAAACTTTATCTTAAATATTAATTAGTATGACAAACTACTTTAATAGAAATATTTTAGAGTGAATAGTTAGGATTCATTAGTACAATATTGTTAATGTACTTGAAAGTAGTCTAATTAGATGCATTCATCAAACTTGTTGCTATTCTATTTCTTAATACCTCTATCTCATGTGATCCTTCAACTTGATAATTTTGATATTCATCATCATCATCATCACTACTATCGCTTTCTTCACAAAAGTCCCTGGGGTCATCAAAATGACGATCACGTTCAGAATACTTCCGTATGTAGTTATGAAGATCCATTGTAGCAATGACAATCTTCACTTGCTTATTGAACGGGTAATTAGGCATATCCCTTAAAATTGCCTATCTTTTTTTCCATACCCCAAAAGTTCGTTCAATGATGCTCCTAAGAGAAGAATGCCTGTGGTTGAATACCTCTTTGTGACCCGTTGGTTCGGCACCCCTACGAAAGTCCGGGAGGTGATATCCTTCACCTTTATATGGTCCCAAATAACCTCTCATTTGTGGGTACCCCGCATCTACCAAGTAATATTTTCCTGACAATTGAAAATTTGTTTTGTATTGTAATAATTATACAAAACAAGTATGTAAAATGCTACTCAGCTCCGCCTAGCAGACTTTCCACATCACAAACATTGGGCAAGCATCCAAGCAAGCAAACATTCTATGTCAAGATTCAAACTGTCAAAATAATACTAACGGTCACACATTTGACTAGTGAAATGGAAGCTTTCATTTCTCTCCCAATTTCACAAACACAAACTACAAGCCACGATGCAGACAATAACAGCAGTCTGCATTTTCCTCCCAATTTTAGTTACTACAACGACAAGGTACACCGCTTCCTTCTACAGGCCTACACAACATTCTAATACAACACTTGTAATTTATACCTTAAAACTCGATGATGATGTCCCAAAGGTGCAGTTCTTTCTCCGGCACCGGCACCCTCAAATCAGTGGTGAGTAAACCAGACATGTCTTCATATCCAAACTCAGTTTCCTCCGAATCAACTGTTACCCTCTTGGGTCGAGCTGATGAGTAGGCTCCAAATGTGCCACATCCACGAGCTTTCACGACAACTGTTGTGCTTGTGTTAGGTTCATCATATTCTTTTATGGCTCCCCCAGAGTTCAACATCTTGATTAGGCCTATGGGAGAAAATTTTACGCCGTTGGACAGTTCCTTGACAGGAACCACTGTGAAGACTTCATATTCCCGGGTTTTTAATGTTATTGTCATGGATGCATCCTTGGGAAGATAAGACACCTCTCCTGCAAATTTAATCAATGAATTTGTTAAAAACTCTAAATAGTATGGTCTACTAGTAAAGCGTCAAGACTACACGAACAAATCAAATGCTATACTTACTACCAAGATGAGAAAATACGACAACATTCCCAGACCATTTCTCATCTGCAACCTTGGGCAGATAATCAACATCTTTAGCCCGAATAACCCCGGTAATTGTGCCTGGTTCCAGGTCATGGATGAGGTTCGTCTTTCCAACCTTACACCACCCAGCTCCCTGGCAATTGAAGACCCCCACAACTCCAGTAACATCGTTCAGATTCCATATCTTCAGAAGACTGTAATAACATAATTTAGATTAGAAAACACACATTATTTGAAGAGACAAAACTACAACTCCAAAAAAAAAAAAAAAAAAAAAAAAAAGAGTCCATGAGTATAAGGTGCCATGATTAATAATTGGCTGGACCCATCACTAAGGTCTGATTATATGTGTTCAGAGACTAAATTGACAAAGATAAATCATCAGAATCTACCTTCTCCTTACCCAGATTGCTTCCTATCTCTCGGTGCACTTTTGTCATCCAATACCATGTTTAAACCAAAATTTCATCATCGACTCCCAATATGTAGAACTAAAAACATCTTGAAACAGGGATAATAAACCCAAACATCATGGGGGTATAATATTGCAGCTCTAAATGTACCTAAAATTAAGTTCAATCTTTGTACAAGTAATGCCAACACGTGATACCCATCATCGTATCAGCTAGTTTGTCTCTCAAAACAAAAAACACTTATTGCTCTGCATCCTCTTACTACTAAACTTCCTCCAATGGCATCCATTTTGGTCAATAATAGACAACCAACGAACCCCAATAGATTAAACTGTTAATTAATGAGCTAACAATGCATTAGCTAACAAGTCAGAATGTGTGAAGCCTTGTGATCATACTTTTAACAGTATGACCATACTTTTAACAGTAATAGCATTACCTGAAACGATACCAGGTTAGATTAAATCCGTTCCTTTCTTTCTTGTTTTCATGTTTTTTTTTTCAATTAGCATTATGTTGTTCACTTTGTTTATTAAAATCTGATTGCACCAAAAGATGGCCTTCAGGAGTGCACAAACTACTGAAAGTAGGAAACTCTACTCAGAATTTAGACCGTACCACAAAAAAGATAATGCAGACAGCATGAGAACACACTGAGAAAAACCACAAACCAAGCAATCATGGAACAATGGACAGAAACAAATCAAATATCACAAATAATTAACACATGTCTTACAATCTCCGTCAAAGAATCAAATATCACAAATCAAATATCACAAATATCACAAGTAATCAAACTTCTCTCTCAATTTTTTTTGTTTCCTCCACAAACCCTAATTTTTTCCCCAATTAATTTTTTCCCAATTAATTTTTTCCACAAACCATATCACCTTCCCCAATTAATTTTTCCCCACCCTCCATCCCCAATTGTTTTTCCCGACACCCATACCCTCATCCCTTTGCTCTTCCCACCCCTCTTTCCCTAATCTCCCCATCCCTAATTTGAAAAATCCAAACAAATAAATGAGAAGCTTACCTGGAGAAACCTGGAGAACGAGAGAACGAGTTCGCTAGTTTTTGGAACGAGAGAACGAGAGAACGAGAGACCGAGAGAGATCGCTCTGGTTCGGGTTATGCGAGAGAGCTCTGAGGTGAAGAGCGTGCGAGAGAGCTCTGGAAAGGTTAGAGCGTAGGTGAAGGGAAAGGGAGGGCAGTTTTGGGTTATTCATATTTCATTAAACGTGTACACTGTTCACCCGTGTGTGGGTGAAAATAAGCTGCTTTTGGAAGCTGCAAATTGCAGCTTCTTGTCATCTCTTGGTTTTGGGCTTTTTTTCACCTTCAACTTTGAAACAAAGCTGTTTTTCAAAGTTTACCAAACACCAAAAATTTTCATAGCTTTTTTTCATAGTAGTTTTTTTTTTAATCACCTCAATCCCAAACAGGCCCTAAGACTAGTTGGTCTCACATTGAAGAAGATGATCGTGATGTAACAACTATATGAGAATAGTTAGTCCCACATCGGAAATGAGTAAAAATACGGCTCTCTATCAATTTATAAAAAGAATTCATGCTCCAGATAAACGTTCAGTAAAAATCTACCTTATCAGTGTAGTATTTATAACTATTTAGAAATCACACCCTATGTTCGACAACTGTAGACGCAATTTCAATTCATGTATCGTCTGCATATTATGTAGTTTAAATGGAATTTTGGTAAGTGTGTTCTATCTCAATTTCACTCAATTTTCAATTCTTGTCATTGTGGTTCATTTTTGTCAATTTGGTTTTGTTAGCATTGTGGAGTCAAAAATAATTAAGAGGTGGCGCGTGGATTTTTAGGTGAAGAGGACAAAATTACTCTCGAGACACATCGGGTTCCTTACACGCAAGTAGTGGAGAATCATCCATCAACCGAGTCAAGGATGCCCAAAATAGGTAACAAGTTCAAATTTATCTCATCCATCTTTACTCCATATCCTCTACAAGGAAATCATTGCATAACCTTCAAAACCTTCCATATAAATTAAATTAAATAGGGTAATTAATGGATTAATTTCTAATTAATCCATTAATCATTCACCAAATTAATCACCAAATAACACCCAAAATATACATAAAGGGCCGGCCACTCTTTCTCCAATGAGGACAGGCCATGCCCTATAAATATTACTCACTTTTCTTTAAAAACCTAGGTTCACACTCTTGCAAAACTCTAAAAAAAACTCTCTGAACACTTTTATCTCTAAATTCTAACTTTGACATCGGAGATTTTTCGGCCAAAGCCCCCTTATTCATCGTGAGTGCGTGAGGCTCTTGGCCTTTGTAGGTGCAATTTTGTCTAAGAAGAAGGAGGTGGAAATTTGCATTCACAAATTTGTGCTTTCATTGAGAGTTGAAATTCACACTCGTAGAAGACTCTCGCATAAAAAGGTTTTTTCTCTATTTTCTAGTCCACTTGTATTTTTCGTACGTTCTTATTATTAGAATTTTTTATTTGCAAAGATTCTTTGATAAAACGAGAAAGAGAAATATGATGGCTAGAAATTTAGAAAACTCCATGAGTGAAAATTCCAATATTCATGAAATAGGACCGCGGCGATCCACGAGACTAAATGTGATCCTAGAGGGAGCGCCACCACCACCACAAGGTTCCACCATGGGAACCACCGCGGTGGCCACCCGCAGCAAGGTCCATGGCACCACTACCACGGCCCGAGCCGTGACACCAAAGCACAGCCCAAGCCGTGCCATCCAAGGCTCATGGCACCAAGGCCATGACCCAAGCCATGTCACTCCAAGCCCAACGCGAGCCCCACGCGTTGCCAAGCCGAGCCCTAGCCTCGCACCCACGTGTGCCACACACCGAGCAGCTCACTCCCGTGGCCCAGCCTGCCCCCACTGAGCAGCCTGTTTTCGTGGCCCAGCCTGCTCCCGTGGCCTTCCAAGCAGCCCAAATTGATCCAAGACCAGTTCAATCGTCCTGGCTCCAAAATTCTGAACCGATGATCAAACCGAAAGCATTTTCACCATATGTTTCTATGGATTTAACATTTCCCAACTTAAATCTCGTGCCCGGAGTCTACCACACTTCCACTGCTCAAGGAGAAACATTCCTTCCAAGCTCTTCCAACCCAAATGGAGAACAACACTTGTCTCGACAAATCATAGAGTTGACGAGCGCCCTCGCACAACACACAACCTTGGTGAACCAGCTCTTGCAGCGCACCGAGATGCAACGTGCCCCAAACAAAGTGTCCCAAAGTAAGACAAGGGCAGATGAAGAACCTTTCCAGCAGTGTCCCGATAAGCAGCCATTCGACCAGCCACGAACCGAGCGTTTGGGCAGAATACACTCCCAATTGGGCCCCCGAGATAGCGTATACTCTCGTCTAAACGCGTGGAGGAGCGTGCACTCTCGACTAGGCCCACGAACGAGCATACACTCATGGTTGGGGTTACACTCCGATAATCAACATAAGCAGTCTTCCAAGCGAAATGTTCATTCGCGACTAGGCTTGCAAGGAGCATCATCCACATCACATCGGAGTAGGCAGCAAGACGGACGGAGAAAAGCAGTCACTCAATCCGGCTCAAGTTCAACCAGCAACCTGCAAAACCCCTCGCCTGCTAGGAATCCACCACGTGCACTGTTGCCGCGGCATAGACGAGCCAAGCACAAAGAAAAGCAGCCTAGACCAGCAGGTCAAGACTGGGGGCAACCGAAAGCTCCACTACGCCAACAAAGGCAAATTCAGGAAGAAGTAGAGAGGCTCCTAAACAAGTGATCGCGTGATTTCCAACGCAACGAAGTGGCCGATGAGGCTCTACAACGGGACATGACTAACATAAGTAGGTCACCCTTCACAGAAGAGATTGAGCAAGCAGAGCCTCCATGCGAGTTCAGCATGCCACATTTCACATCTTTCAAAGAGGATGAAGACCCGGAGAAACACTTAAAGCACTACCGAAGCACAATGATCCTCTATCGAAACAACAACGATTTTATGTGCAAGATATTCACCACCACTCTATAAGGCAAGGTGCAAGATTGGTTCTACACCCTATCGCCACAATCTATCCGAAGTTTCGACGAACTTTCTTTGGTTTTTACCAAAGAATATTCAACCTATTGCTCGATCAAAAAGAAGTCTGACCATTTGTTCAACGTCAAGAAGAACCCAAAAGAGTCGCTTCGTGACTATATGAAGATGTTCAAAGCAGAGAAGGCAAGGATAGTCAGATGCGACGACTCAATAGCTAAAGCAGCCTTTTAAAAAGGACTTCTAGCAGACCACCCGCTATTCGGAAAATTGATCATGAAAGAAGATCTAACTCTAGTAGACTTTTTCACTCTGGCAGAGAAGCATGCACTTTGGGATGAGACACGGCAATACACATTCAAGGACTTGAAGAAGTACCCGACATCACCTCCCTACTATCCAAATCGGAAGTAGAGGAGGATTGATTCACATGTTTGATGGTATCTGAAGCAGCAATAAGCTCTACCATCATACGAGAAGAGTTAGGGGCCGACTACCTGTATTCCACAGTTCAAAATCTCTCCTCGATGCTATCAGAAATTCAAAAGAAAACTTTGGCGATAGTTGTTGCTACCTGAAAGCTTAAGTTTTACCTTCAAACGCACGCAGTCATCCTCATGACGCATTATTCCGCCTAATCAAAACGCGCGACGATAAAGGCGTAAACCCTGGCGGATGCAAAGTTTTCTGACGAACGCAACAACTCGGCCTAAAAGACACGCCAAGAGCAGACGAACACTAGAAAGACACACTCAGAAGCATGCTTAGTGGATTTCTCACAGCTGCCCATGCGAGCAGTCTCCTCATTCGCAGCAGGAGAATTAGTCTCAGTAGTAGAGGGAGTGGGCTTTAGCGGCACTTTAGCGGCAAAGTTCACCTTATCGCTCTTCATAATAACAAGCCTTTTTTGAATGAGAACCAAACTTAGCTTCCAACAGACGTTTTGGCAAAGATTTCAGCACTGGGGGCATGACAAAACCTCTACACTGAGCAATACTATCAACAATCAAATTAGCCATTCTCGACATGGCAAACGCCATAGGCTCAAATCTAGCAGCCTCATTTTTCTTCCCATTAGAAGAAGTCATGTTAATCACAGGCCTCTCGACAACAGGCGGACCCTTACGAGCAACGGAGGAAGTCTTCAGTTTTTTCTTAACCAACATCTCTTAAGCAGACGAGGAAGATCTCTTCTTTCCACCTTCATTCACAGTAGGTTTCACGATAACGATCAGACGAGCCAAAGTATCTGCCTTGATCTTCTTTACCTTCTCGAGAGAGAGCAACCCACATTTCTCCCAGCGAAGAGAACTAAGCAGCCAACGCTATTCACGGTACTCAGCAGGGGAACTCAACCCATACTAGCTTTTTCCTCATTTTTTTCTTTCAGACCAGTAGGCAGGAGGCCTGCATGCCCAACATTCCAGCAGCCCATGAGGCCATCGACCTCCTCATCTCTCTAAATTGCCGGCCTGGTCCGTGTTGTGTCCAAGAGCCCAAAGGACATGAGTCATGCGACTCGCTGATGCGAGAATTATACGCACACAAATTAAACCCTCTTTTTGACAATTGTAGTAAGTATGTAAGTAGGGATCGTTCTGGACCGGGGATTAGGAGGGATTGTTAATCACTTGGATTTGACTCAAAAACGCTAAAAACACAATCTAAAACACTATACTAGACTCAAAGAATGCAAAACTAAACTTTAAAACACTAAGATAAACCAAAGACTCAAAATGCTTTAAAGCATAAACTAAATTGATTTCTAACTAAATTGAACAATAAGGTAAAGGGGGATTTAGGTTTTGATTAAACTAAATGACAGATTGTAAATTAAAGCATAAGGAAATGAAGTAAACACAAAATGAATGAATCAACAGCTAATAAAAAGAGATAGCACAAATAGAGATGAAGCTAGAGATTCGATTTCACCATTGCTAAGCCAAGTCCATGCTTGTTAAGTCAGATTATACTCATCCCTCTACTTATTTCTTGGGTTTGTTTCACTTAGATATGATCAGCCATATGATGTGTGGATTTGATCAAATGTCTCTAATCATGAGCCTAATTGTGATGTGCAACTTTGGTTCCTAATCAAGACTATGTAGTGCACAAGAAACTTTCACAAAACCAAAGGGAACACTCGGCAGGATGTTTGCAAAACATTCCCTTCATTCATTCACATATCTACCAAGATTATGCATGATGTGTGCTTTAATCTTGGCTAAACAACCTGTGGTTAATTCAAATGATGATCAAGCATTAAAATCAACACACTAAGTCACAATTAAATCGGAGAATGAAACAAGAAATAGATAGATTAAATGAGAATTCCGAATTAACTACATGGCAATCTTGCAAGGCTACATCGAATCCCTAGAGAGAGATTAGTTACACTTCATGTTTACAAAAGGTTTGACATAAAAATATATAACATGAGTGAACATAGGATTAAGAAGAAAGAACCCTTGAAGCAAAACTGATGTTGAAATCCCTTAAGAGTTGCCTTCGGTGTTGGTGCTCCAAGTGTGTTGTAAATGAAGGTGGAGCGGCTAAGGTTGAATGGTTTCTGCAAATGGGAGAGTGTATGGAATGGAATGAAGCCGAGAAGAGATTGTGTAGAAATGGAATGGGAGCTTGCGGCAAAGGGGAAGATTGGATGTGTTTGTGGTGTCTTGTGTATGAAAATGAGATGTGATTTTTGTGTATGAATGCATGGGTTTTTATAGGGGGAATGGGAGAATATGTGGGTGATTGTTTAAGAGTGAATGTGGTTGTTATGATTGAGAGTGCATGTGGATGAAATAATGATGGAAAAAGAGCTAGGTTGTTGGTGTGTGAATGCATGTGTTGAATTTGTGATGCAATGATGAAAGAGTAAGTGCATGTGTGTGTGAATGGTGGTGCAATGATGAAATGATGAAGTAGGAAGGTGGAAATGCATGTGTTGAATTGGTGGCGCAATGATGAAAGAGTAAGTGCATGTGTGTGTGAATGGTGGTGCAATGATGAAAGAGTAAGTGCATGTGTGTGTGAATGGTGTTTCTTGATGGTTTTGGGGTTGTGATGCATGTGAATGCATGTGGCTAAGGGTTGTTGATTGGGCTAGAGGTTTTGTATGGCTCAAAGGATTGTTTGATTGGGCTAGGCCTTTTGTTTTATGTCCAAAGTGCATACAAGGCTTTCAAATTCGTCCAACACTTTGGCTCCAAGCATATGCTATCCATTCCAAGCCCAATTTTGCTCCAAAATGCTCCAAAATGCATCTTTTTGCTTCCTTAGCCATATGAACCTAAAAACACACGAAAATGGCTTAAACTACTAAAACAATTATGAATTAACAACATAGATGCACGAAAACAAGCTAAGTAAGTCGCCTAAATATGCTCCTATCACTCGCCTAGCAATGCGCCCCACCGCCACAATCCGTGACCCCAGCCGCACAAGCTGCCCTTGGCTCTAGCCAAGCTGAGCAGCCTAAAGTAGTGGTTCCTGCCACAACACCTCCTCGGCCTATGCCGAGCCAACTCTTGGCCTCAACCAGCCGACATGCCGCACCACCCCGACGGCTGCCCCTCGACAGCACTATCTAAGAAGAAGAGAAGAAAAATTAATTTTTTCTTACATCGGTGCGGCACAGAGAAGACAAAGAAAGCAACGAAAAACGGTCCTTTGCACGGGTAAAATGTAGAAGATTGCCAAAGGAGGGAAAACAATATCCTCTAAGCTCTCTCTCTCTTATAGGGTAGAATAAATTGCTCTTCAAAGTTGATTTAATAACCTACTTAAGGTGGACTTAAATAGGCTTTGAGAGAAATTTATTTCCCTTTCCTAGAAGGATCTAATTTCCTATTAAAGAGGGAATCTACATCAAAATAGGAAGCAATCTTAAGTTTCCTAAAGTAAGAAGATCTCTACACCTGCTACCCTTTCTTGCGAGCAGCCCAACAGGTGTGGAGGCATTTGTGGAGCCAAAAATAATCAAGAGGCAACACGTGGATTTTTAGGTTAAGAGGACAAAATTACCCTCGAGACACATCAGGTTTCCTACACGCAAGTAGTGGAGAATCATCCATCAATCGAGTCAAGAGTGCCTAAAATATGTAACAAGTTCAAATTTATCTCATCCATCTTTACTCCATATCCTCTACAAGGAAATCATTCCATAACCTTCAAAATCTTCCATATAAATTAAATTAATTAGGCTAATTAATGGATTAATTAGGAATTAATCCATCCAAATTAATCACCAAATAACACCCAAAATATACATAAAGGGTCGGCCACTCTTTCTCCAAAGAGGACCGGCCATGCCCTATAAATATTACCCACTTTTCTCTAAAAACCTAGGTTCATACTCTTGCAAAACTCCGAAAAAACTCTCTAAACACTTTTCTCTCTAAATTCTAACTTTGGCATCGGAGGTTCTTCGGCCAAAGCCCCCCCCATTCATCGTGGACGTGTGAGGCTCTTGGCCTTGACCCTAAGGTGTTAATTGTTTTGTAGGTGTAATTTTGTCTAAGAAGAAAGAGGTGGAAATTTGCATCCACAAGCATTGTAAGGAAAATTATGAAATTTTGGTAATTATTTAGATAGGACCCATATTTCGAGGATTAAAATCTGGTTGCTTTTGTGAAATTCTTTTCTCTTGAAAGATTGGAAGGGCCTCTAAGGGGCCTCTAACGAAGCAGCAAATTATTTTGTGTTGTATTAAGGAGCGGAGATGAACAATTTTGGATGGGTCATTAGAGTCCCATCTTTGTTTGGCAGGATTTTGAACAAGAATGGCTTGCCATGTCGTCCATTTGAAATGAGTGAGAAGTGTGATGGTATGACGTTAGGGCTATATGTTCCGTGTTCGAAAATTATTGGAAATTTTGACAGAATGAGACTACAATGACAACATAGATGAGCATGTCAATGAATGAGGTGGAGGACGACATTGATGAGATTATAACATAAGGGTCCTATACTATGATTTTCCAATACTTGAAAGATCATTTATAACCCAAGGTGTCCCCAGGGGCACTCTATATTTGTGGGACTGACTACAATACTTGCATGCACATGCTACAATCACCATCTAATGTCAAATATAATTCATGTGATTGTATTCATGATGTTTTTAACAACATTGAATAAGGTCCTCACAAAGTACCTTCTTGTGGAGACATTAAGCAATTTTTCTTTAAGAAAATGCTCTTATTAGGTCAACTTTTTTGCACCGATTACAAAAATTCTTTCCCTTTTGGGTTTTTGGGTAAGAGTAATTTTCACACTTTAACTCTAAGACTCCCTTGTTAATTCATTTCATGATTTTAATTCTTTCATCCAATGTCTAAAAAGGATGAGGGGAGTGTAGAAATCAGTCCCCTGATGGGTACGCTATGAAATGAAGTTATATTTGCCCTCCCACTCTAGAAAAACTTAACACAAAACGGGTACACTGCGATGTGGCGTCCTAATCCAATAATGCATTATCATGTGTAAATTTTTCTCCACATGCCAATCCAATATTAGACCCACAATGGTAGTAAACTTGTTTCATATAAATTGCTCTCCGTCTACGCCCACCAAGTTCATCTATGACCAGAAAACTATTATCTACATCTGAAAAGGCATTCACAATGGGAATCAACACGTTTGCAAAAACATCATACGGGTCGTACATCTTTAAATCTTATAAGCCCAAAATGCACTGAGGGGTAGAGAGCTCCTAAATACATCAAGACTCAGATTGTTTGGTAGAAAGATGGTAAAATCTATCTACTCACCAGCCCATCAAAGTTCTTCTAACTCTATCTACAATCTGATTCTTAGCTACCAAGTTTGATAACTGAAAGTTGTGGTTCTCTTCCAGCAAAAAGGTATACACCTCCCATTCACGATCTGATGCCGCTACCCTCCCGATTTCAGCCTGAAAGACGAGACAACAAACTGTTAAAAGTGTTGTGAAAATGGATTTGGTAATTCAAAAATACGCCAAGAAGTGCAAGTATTGACTTGAGTTAGTAATTCACAAAAGATTTGGTAATTCTGAATAACTTTTAACTTGTTGCTTAGTCTTCTTACCGAGAAAATGCATATCCCGAGTGTTTTTAGAGCAATTGTAACATCATAGAAAACTCGTGGTCTTCCCTTTCCAGATAGCTCAACTGGATTAGCAACTAACAGTTCAGTATCTGGCCCTCGGTTTGCAATGATAACACGTAACGGGTGAAGCATCTCCACCTTCAACCGCAAATACAGTGCGCTCTGCTTATCGGGATCCACAAGCTTTTTCCCATCATTTTGCTGAATGAATAGGTCTAAATCGCGATAGCCTTTAATATTTGGAGAAATTCTACCATAAGCTATCTGAACAAGAAAAGATTTTGGATTAGAAAACTACAAACAAACCGCCAATCATCATAAGTTGGCAAGGATAGCATAAATCCTTATTTGTAGTTTATGGAAGAAAAGAAAGAATTGGACCCAACATTATAAGTGCAGGCAAGTCATATTTAGATGTATCACCGAGATGTAATGGACCAAAAAGCAATCATCTGCAGATCTGCATACGGGTACCATTATTTTTTTCTTTGCTGAGAATAAGAACCTTTCAGAAAACTGAGACCATTCTTTTCTCATCACCCCTTGTCGGGGTTGAGGTCAAGACTCGAGATCCATTTTCAATCCCATGTAGGGAAACCTATCAACTAGGAGTGGCAACAAGTAAAATCGCTGTCATCTCCCGTTCCATAACCAGTAGGCTTTGACATAGGCTAACCAAATTAATACCACAAAGTATCCTAAACTACAAAAAACATTGATGTTATCTGGCAAAATAGTGAGGGGAAAGAGAAGAATTTCTACCTTGATATTGGAGTCTTTCAAAGTTCTCAGAATGTCATACAAGAGACCTTTGTGGTCAGCACAGTGGATTTGAAGTAATGTATGAGCAGGGCTCAACGAATTGTCCATAGTCACATTGGTTTTCTTCAACTTTGTCATATCTGGACTAAGAGCTTGAGACCGGGTTTCTTTATCCAATAACTCACACCTAAATAGCTCTTCAGCTACCGCAGGTGAAAGGGAAGGGATTCCATGGTGGGATTCATACTCGGGACCTACCAGCTGAAGTTCGCAGCTGATACATGACTCACCCAAAACATCACGCAATTGTTTTATCGTCTCATCTTGGCGTTCCTTTGTGTGTAAAAGGTCCCTGAAATGAGAATGTAGGTCATCTCGATTATACATAGCATCAGGATTCCACCTTAACTGACTTGTTAAATTTAATAAAACCATCCAATGACCATGAAAGAAACGACCAAAACATTTACAACAATGACATGTTTGAGAAGCGATCAAAACATGGAAGCTCAGCGAGAGAGAGAGATAATGGGACGGCACGCTTGTATAAATGATAAAAAAGAAAAACCATGGTTTCCATATTATTAGCTCTAGATAAGCTATGCTATCTAGGACTTGAATAATTTGTCATTTATTAACCATGTAAAAAACTCCAAGGCAGCACAATTCAGTAAAGAGTTAATACAAAAGACGAATATAGAAACTGTAAAACTTTTTGTCCGAAGTGAGCGACTTAGTGACGGAAAATCGTTGAACTTTTAAGACATTATGTCAATGCAGTCAGAAATTGTATATTTTTTACGTTTTACGAACAAATTTAACAACAATCAAGAAAATTCCTCAAATTCTCAAATTAAAAACAAAGACAAAACCAAAATTATAAGTCCCAAGGCAAAACTCACATGTTATCTGTTATAAAGAAAAGGTCCAAGACCCTATCATCGGGGGTTGTCGTAACTTTCACTCGCTGAATCGAAAGCTCAAGCTCTGAGAGAGTTTGTGTAACATCTAAAAGAAACAAAGTTAAGGCAACATTGAATTACGAATCAGAACTACCTCAAAACAATTAAGCAATGGAGGTGTGGCAAATTTCCGTTACCATGCAACAATCCCTTGCGGTCGAGGCAAAGAAACGTCAACAGATAAACTGGTGAGGACGACGATCGTGTGGGCTGCTGGTACAAGTAAAACGGCACTGAACATGATGGGCATACAGATTGTAGCTGGTTCTTCAAATTTGACAATTTCACTGCTGGGGAGCTGGAATCAGGAAACACCCATAACACTACGTAGCACCATATCCCATCAGTCGAAAAATCTACACCAACAAATTTCACCCCACAAAAACACATGAGCATTCAAATTAATTGAATCACATTAATCCCTAAACACAATTAATTATCACTAATCCACAAGATCAATCAAAGACAAAAATCCACATGGAAGACGGAACTAAAAAAACCAAAAATGAATTTCTAAACAGCATAAATTATCACTAAGCGACCACATTAATCGAAAACAAAAACCCACAAAAAATTAACCAAAATTAATGAAAAATAACCCAAAAAAATCCACTATCATATATACTTGCTCGATTGTTATGTTAAAAAAATGAGATTAAAAGTTTACACAAAGTACCTGCTTTTTCTATTAGAAGGCCAAAATCGAGGATGATTCTGCAAATATCGCACCCGAGGCCGGTCTTGTCCGGGCAATTGACGGTGATGATGCAGGGCTCGCCCGGCCGCTTTCCTTTCTGGATCACAACGACGTCGTCGCTCGGCACACCCATACCGGAAACCCGAGAAAGACCGACCAAATTGGCGCTGTAAATTTGACGGTGCCAAGAGCTTCGGGCTGGGGTGATATGTGGAGGTCCTCCACCGGTGGACCGGTGGTTCAGGTGCCACTAAAATAGTAGAGGCCCAAAGTTTCCGGAAATAGGCGGGCGTGAACGTTGTGCTTTAATTGTGACCTTTCTGGAGTCGACGTTTGGTGCCACCGGAAAATCCACGTCGCCTTTACACGTGGCGGCCTCTGAGTCATTTAAAAGTGATTTTAAAAATTGTCACATGAGTGACGGGGAACGGATTTGGATTCCGTCCAGATTTAAATTGTGAGGATTAGAGAAATCTTCATATTATAATCGTTTATCATGTATTATACGGTTATAAATTATTTTAAATTTTTTTATTTAAGATTAAACATAATTAATACTTAACAACACAACAAACAGTCATAATATATGAGAATCCCTAAGACCATCGCAAAAGAGATCGGGAGAAGATCCTCATCCCACGGGCACGAAGAGACCTCGTCCACTACCATGCGACTTGTGAGAGGGTGGATGGTAGAAACTGGAAAGTGACTCTTGAAATTATGTGCTTATTAAAATTTTAAGATTAAATTATAAATAGAGAAAATATAAAGTAATAGCTAAAATATTTTCGTGTTGTCTATCAGATGATGTTTATCGCTGAAGAAGCTATTTATATATTTGGCCACGGTTAACAATTTCCTCTTGATTATTCTATTTGGAAAAAAAAACGTGGGAAAAAAAAATGAGGGCACCTGAGTTTAAGGCTTTGAACAAAATAGGAAAATTATTTTGTATTTAATTTACTAAAGTGAGTGTTCGTAAAGTTATTTTTTCAAATCTTTTTACAAGAAATTTGGTATTATCTTTTGACAAATTCTAGATTACTTTAAGAGGCAATTGCAATCGATTTTGCTAGTCTAGGACATTATTATGAATCTATGATATTTGATTTAATCACTTGCCATCTATTGTATTTTTTCTTTCAAAGATAAATTTGCACCACGAAATTATTTTCATCCTAATTGAATTGTTAATGTCTGTGATAATAGAATAATCAGAAGATAGTTCAAGTATTAAAACAATTAAAATTTAAACTTCTGCAATAAAATACATTACCATTAAAGCTGTCATCAACACCAATTCAATTAGGAATCGTGATTTTCTCGGCAACCAAGCAGATTTCACAGAAGAAATTTACCACAAAAACAAAAGAAATCGACAGCAATAAAATAAGGCAAAGACTTACTAACAGGTCGAACTTACATTACCTCAAAATAAGTTCCAAATTACATAAACACTAACTGTTACCAACAAAATACAAATTAAACACAAAGATGTAAAGCCCAGACCCTAAGCAAACCTAACCCTAATTCCCAAAATAATAACATAAAATTCCCAATTTAACCCCCGAAACCGTATAGGGTCCTTCCCTGCCTCTTCAAAGCATACACCACATCCATGGCGGTCACAGTCTTCCTCCTGGCGTGCTCGGTGTACGTCACAGCATCACGAATAACATTCTCCAGAAAGATCTTCAGAACTCCTCTGGTTTCCTCGTATATCAGACCGCTGATTCGCTTCACACCACCTCTGCGGGCAAGACGGCGAATAGCAGGCTTGGTGATGCCCTGGATGTTGTCCCTCAGAACCTTACGATGTCGTTTCGCTCCTCCCTTGCCCAATCCCTTGCCGCCCTTTCCTCGTCCAGTCATTTTCTCGGGAAAATTTTTGGGTGAGAAATTGGAGTTTGATTTAGTGGGTTGAGCAACCGAGGGGTTTTGGGTATTTAAAGCGTTGGGGGTTTGGGTTTTGGTATTTTGTGGGGTTGGCGGGGGGCCATCTGGGCCGTTGGATGCAGATGCTTATCGAAGGCTGCGAGAGTCGATCCGCGTCGTATTGTAAAATTGAATCTGTGTCGTTGGTGTTGTATCATCTACGGTCAGAAACTCCACCTTTTTGGGCTGGCACGGATTGTGCTTTTGAGGGAGAGTGATTTGGCGGTTTTTGAAAGGCGGGCCGAAGAGCCCAGGACGGAGTTGTGCAATTTTTGGGTTTGAAATTTGAGTTTTACTTTTGTTGTTGAAAATTTTGGGAAAAACAAGGGCGCAGCACGTGCCAAAACCTCTACACACTTCAGCCATCTCTCTCCATGAACTAAGTGGAATTTAATGGACGTGAATATGAACAAAGACTTGGCTGTTTCAACAGCCACTTCTGCTTATTCCGGATGAACACGTTCGGAATTGGGTATTAGCAAAAGTGGCTGTTGAATTGTTCACCAACCAAATTAATTCCTATGAATATTGAGTGAAATCATTAGAAATTTTGAGAGAAGAGATTCGATAGAACGCATAATACAAACATCATTGAGCACTATTGAAACTAATAAAGCTATTAAATAACGCTCTACTAGTCAGGATGTCTAATTATAAATCAAAGGCGGAGCTAAAAAATTTCATCGGATGAGCTAGTATAAAGATTTAAATTTTTATAAATAAAGAAACTTAATACTATATTTTTTACAATATCAGTTAGTTTGAGAAAATTTTTACAAGGTGAGCCAATAACTTTTGTTATTCAAACAAATTCAAACTTGTACATGTACAAGAAGCGATGAGAAAAATAGATGGTTTGTAAACTGTATTATATAATTAAATCAAGAGAATTCGAATTAGTGACTAAATATATGGTGGGCTACATTTGAAAATCAATAAAAATTACATGAAATTTTTTATTTTCTACCAAAAGCTACTTAAGCTATAGCCCAAGGTAACCCTTAATGTGGCTCCGCCGGTGTTCGAAATAACATAGATTAATATCAGTTTGTATTGTAGAAGAATTCATCATGAACGAGTTCATGCTTCAATCTTCTTTGATTACCTTATAGTTCTTACTCTCAATGAGACGATTGTATATTAAACGCGTTAACTTGAGAAGAGAGGCCAAAGAATTTCATGTCTCCATGCATGGACCATAGTATTTAATTGTAATTGAATATATTTTGTCCAATACTAATATTTGTCCAATCACTTATATATCAAAACACATATACACCAGATATGGTTCGATCTCACTCACATTAGGAGTAAAACTCTTACATTCTCTCATACTAGTGTGATCAAATTATTTATATACGTTATATAAGTAAATTGGGTATCAGAACAATATCACTTCTGCAACTAATTATAATGATTTACTTGTTCGAACATTAGAGCACTATGCAAGCTATAAGCATTTGTATTCTAAAATCACAAACCAATCTCATTAATTATAAAGTTGTAAACCGGAGAACCTAAAATAGAAACTTGTTATTACTATTACAACTCCCACATGTCTAATGCCATGAAGTTATACAACATACTTCATACCACTTTGCAAATATTCAGAATGAGTGGAGGGAAAAAATAGCTAGTGAACTGTAAACAATACAAAATTATCCAATTATTCGTAAAAAATTCATTGCAAATTCAAATAATTATATGTTGGAAAAGTTAAAACGCTTTACAATGTTACATGATTAAAAGCACGAGCGAGAGAGATGATTCATTCCTTAAAAGCATCATGTTACATTAATAATGATGTACAATCAAGGTTCGAAACTAGGAATTAGACAACACTCTCTTATATAACACGAAACCATTTAACGTATATAATGTGGTACGGCTGCGCCGTATGTTTCAAAATTGGCTCATTCTTTCCGGCCCGAAATAAGAAAATCAACAAAAAAAGAACTCCTCGACACAAGATACCTCCTTAAAAACGTACGAATGAGGATTTCGTTGATAAGTGCACACATTATATACGGTGTAGTCCATCCCCTTCATTCCCCCACCAATAATAAAATAAAAGTAAACATCTAATGACAGGACCGGCCAGGTTGTTACAATTTCATGAAAAAGGATCATTGCCGGATTATTTTCTTAGGGATTTAGAAATTATGTATGTTCATCGTATATCGTACAATAAGAAATCATTTAAAATTTAAAATTAAATATAAATAATACCTAATGAAAATTGATCGCACGATGTACGATGATAGGATATAAATTCTGGATCTCCCGAATCCGACTTTTCCCAATTTCATGTCAGTTCGATCGGTTTCAATTTGTACCTTATACCTTACATTTGCCAAACAATGGGCCGAGTTTATCTGCTCCGAACTGAATAAAAAACAAGTAGCCCACTTTGTGAAACTCAAATCATGGGCCGCCCAATTATTATCAACCATAAAATCAGATTCGACGAGAATAGAAATCCAACGGTTACAAGTAAGCTACAAAACAGCCACAACTCCAGAGAGAGACTGAAGAGAGAGAGAGAGAGAGCATTGTTGAAGGAAAGAAGATAAATGAGGAAGTTCGATCCATGGCCGATTTTCTTCAAGCGAGAATGGAACCGGAACTGGCCGTTCCTCGTCGGGTTCGCCATCACCGGAACCCTGATCACCAAGTTCTCTCTCGGCCTCACTGGTAAGCTTTTTTGCCCCCGCCCCCCCTCCGATCCGTTCATTTCCAATTCGAAACCCTAATTTCCGTTGATCTGTTTGTTTTGTGTGAATCTATTCGCAGAGGAAGATGCCAAGAACTCGCCTTTCGTTCAGAGGCACAAGAGGTAGCTTTTCTTTTAATCTTCTGATTCCTTAGGCCTATTTGATTTGCATCGTTACAATCCTGTAAATTGATTATCTGGTAGTTGTAGCCAAAATACGGTATGTCTGAAAAACAATGCACTTTTTCGAGTTTCGTTGGAGATTTTAGTGATTGCGAAATAGGGTATAATGAATGGCATCTATATCCTGCTTCTGTTGCTTTATTTGATTGCTTTATCGTTCCTCTTTTATAAGGAAACATTGGTTTTTGGTAGGCATTACTTTTGTGGCAAGTCCAGGAGTAATTTACTTACGAGGATTTCATCACACATTGTGCATTTGGTGCAAAATTGGAAATGAAATGTTTTTCTCAGAACTTATGATATTTTTACGAGAGGAAAAAGGTGTTGAAGGTGTTGGGGTTGGTCTAGAACATCCCAAAGGGGTTTAGAATCAGACGTTTAGACTTGGTTTTCTGCCGCTAGATGGTCATGTTGAGATCATCCAATCATGCCTGGATTTTATTGATCCTATCACGCAGTAGGAACAGAGGTAGAAACATAATTATCTATCTTAAAACAAGTTTTTGCCACTAAACCTCCATTTTTGACGTACATTGTGAATACCAAATCAAGTACTATGGAGTTTTATGCTATTTATGTGGGCACCGGATTTTCTCGTCACACAATTTCATACCAGTTGTCATCCTGACTAAAGGCTTTCTTTATCCTGGATACACCTTTTGACATTTTCTAGTATGATGGGTTGCATGTGTATTCGGTAAGGAGGTTTTGAACATGCTAAAGTGATGGCTTATTTAAAAACATTTTTTAGGTTCCCTACATGCAGTTAACAAGAGCTTGAAATTTTTAAAGTGATGGCCTACTTTCAGTCAAAGGGTATATGTCAAAATAATACCTTTCCAAGACATGGGCATTGCAATGCTCAACTTTACATAGAGCAGGGGGTTGTCAGGGATGCATTGGCACATACATATCCAACTCTCGGATTGCTGTAGTTTGTGGTGTGCTTGTTCTTTTACCTTTTCTGTTTATAATCTGATCTCTCTATTTTGGTGAGTCTTGTGTTTCTTGGCTTGCACCAAGGATTGTACATCAACAATAGTAAACCGTAGCGTTTTTATATATAGTTTTACGAGTCTGTTGGTGAAAATCGTTATTTAGTTCTTTTTTTTCGTTGTAGGTGATTTATGTTTGGTGTACAAGCCACCTTTGTGCTAGCATTGTGGAGAAGACGGCCCTCGTGCTATTCTCAAGGATCATAATAACGGAAGAGAGTTGTTCTAGATACTCTTTTTTGAATTTTCTGTTATGTTTTGGATGACTTGAATAACATGAGAAGAAATACTTATACTCATTGGTTTTTAATTTTGTGCGTTTGGCCAGACATTATTCAAACCATGAAACAAAGTTGTGTTAGAGTTTCACGTTACTGTTACAGGCGAAATATCATTTTCCCTTGCTTCTTGTTTTGTCGTTTCTTTCCTGTTTCTAGTTTTGTGTCTTTCTTTTCTCATCCGAAAGAGTTCTATATGACATCTTGAAAGTTCAAGGACTTGTTTGGATGTACTTTTAAAATGACTGAAATCGCTTTTAGGAAAAATGTTTGTGTTCCTGAAGCACTTGAAGTGCTTAGTTATGTGCTTCTTATAGGAAGTGCTTAGTTATGTGCTTCTTGTAAGAAGCACTTCAAGTGCTCTTCAGGATTCGCTTATATGGTTACCAAAATATTCTCACCAAAAGCGTTTTCAGCCATTTCAGAACACTTCCAAATGAGAGTGAAAATGCCTAGTCTGCGCTCAATTTCCTTTGTATGGTGAGGGTTTCGCCTACTAAAATCCTTGCAAGCTTCGGATAAGGGGCTAGAGGAAATCTTTGAGTTATTTCTGGGTTGAGTTGCTGTAAGGATTCTTAATTTGTCACTTTACCGAGCTACTTGGTATTCATCTTCGCACGTTAATACTCGATTTTCTCAAGGAGTCATTCTTTTTTACCCGCAATTAGAGTCTGACGTGCACAATTAGTCTTGCAAACAAATCTTACCAAAAAAATGGGTCTTAACATGTCCGTAATTCTTTTTTTGAATTATTTTTATATATTAAACTCTGATTTTTGCAAATCATAATTCGTAAAGAGGAACGTAAAAGTAATGTTCATCTTATTCACTTCAAAATCACAAGTAAAACGACTCACGAGGCTCTAAGATGAATATGAAACAAAGTGCAACCAGCCAAGAATAAAAGCATACTTTGCGAACGGTGGAACGCCCGGTGATTAGCGTCTTCTTCATCTTACTGTGTCATGGATTCAAACTCCTCTTCCTCCCCTAGTGGAAATTGAAGAAATAATATCGCTTGTATTTAAAAACGTTACAACGGGATTCAATGGAATAGAAATTATAATCTTATTATTGAACTACAATTTTAACTATAAAAGAGCGCTAGACGCCACATTTCGAAGGATTCTCCTTGGCATCTTAGCACTCGCTTTGCAAGAGGATGAAAAACGAAGAAAATCTTTCTCGAGACACCATTTCTTATTTTGTATTATAACACGATGAAATTGAAAGAACAAGAAGGAAGTAAGCACACAATGAAGTTACAGGAATCATCGAAGACCGAGCATGTGCCGCAGTGTCAAACAAAATTCCATGACCAAAAGCTCAACGTCTATATTTCCAGCAATGCAAACAGACACTCATTTCTTTTTGTTTGCTCCGAGCCTCAATCGGAAATCTTCCTCCATGAGAGGTAGGCCTTCGCGCAACTTGATCTTCGGTTCCCATCCCAGCAATTCTTTTGCCTTTGTGATGTCGGGTTTTCTCTGTCTAGGATCGTCCGGAGTGTTCTCAACCCTCTTGATCTCCACCTCAGGGTTGATGAGCTACGAGTCAAATACACTGATCAACATGTATGTACTTCCCCACCTCGAATTCTTTGTTTTAGCAATTAGCAATGAACAAATTGCACAAATTTTCTTTTTGTAGAAATTCAAAGTTATGCTTTAAGAAATAAACTAAAAAGCTTCTGGAAAACTATATACTATAACAGCCTGCAAAGGGAAAGACGATGGAAAAAGAGAAACTGACCTCCTTCACTGTCTCTGCAAGTTCAAGCATTGTAAATTCACCTGAAAGTACCCAAGAAAGTACCGAGGTCATTACTTATGTCCATACGATTAGAGCACATTCTTATGACAGGTTCTTCAGACACACTCGTCACACTACGATGTTTCTAATAGATTACCAGGGTTTCCGAGGTTTATGGGTCCAGTATGCTCTCCTTCCATCAGACGAATGAGGCCATCAACCTAAAACATTTTTAAAACAGGTAACTATATAAAACCGAACACATTGCAGTACAGGGCAACATAATCAAAAGAAAAACATGTTCCACGTACCAGGTCAGAGACATAACAGAAACTGCGAGTTTGAGTCCCAGGATTTTGCACTGTCAAAGGTTCATCACTGCAACATTGAAGCACGTTAAAATTAATCCTGAGGTATCGACATTCAAGGGGAAAAGGAAAAGGCCGAAGCTTATCCACCAATGTAGGCAAATATGAGTAACAAGTAAAGCTAGACAAATAACAAGCTGGATTACTAAGCGATGGAACATGGTTTTCTTCATGTAGGCACTAGGAAAACTGCTGATACATAACCATCATTAAAGCCATACTACGGACTCACCGAAGTGCTTGAGCTATAAAATTGCTGACGACACGCCCATCATCAATATTCATGCGAGGGCCGTATGTATTGAATATTCTGGCAATACGTATTTCTGTCAAAGAAAATAAATGAAATCAAACAATCAACTACTAAATAGCAAAGGTTTAATCACTTCAGCACGGAATGAAAAAACAGTGCTTTGTTCTATGGTGGGGAAAGGAAGAGAAAAACACAATACCTATGCCATGCTGCCTATGATAGTCGAACATCAAGGTCTCAGCAACACGCTTGCCCTCATCGTAGCAGCTCCTTACTCCTGTTATTACAATATGCACTTGTTGTCGTCACCGTATCCAAAACTTAAATAAATCCTTGAACAAAACAACATTCTGCCTTCTATTTCCCCCCATTAATTGTCTACATGGTTTGCATTTATACGCAGAAATAATCTTCTTAGATCTGTCTGAATGCAGCAAAATTCCGTCTTAGAACGAGATGAGCACTTACCAATTGGGTTAACATTACCCCAGTAGCTTTCAGGTTGTGGATGCACAAGAGGATCTCCATATACCTCTGAAGTGGATGTCAGCAGAATCCTGCTCAAATATATTTACTTAAATAAGACAACTTGAAGGAATACAATTATAAATCTTTCATAAATGCAAGAATAATAGACCACCTTGCTCCAACTCGCTTTGCAAGTCCGAGCATGTTCAGTGTGCCAATCACGTTTGTTTTTATCGTCTGATACAGAATCATATGCTCAAATGTTAGATTACAGATTTAAGATAAATTTGAAAGACTTTCTGTTGGAGGGAAAGGAGATCTTATATGAATGAACAGGAAAAAGAAAGTAATATATCAGCTGCCGTTGCTGATCAAGGAGAAATGACATGTTGCCCGCCTTTACAAGTCATTTTCCCTGAATCACACGCGACATATGCACTACCATATGCCATCTCGATATCTAACGCTTAAATTGCATATATTTACCTTTACAGGATTGTATTTGTAAAAAATTGGAGAAGCTGGGCACGCAAGATGGTAAATCCGATCAACCTCGACCAACAATGTCTCTGTGACATCTGTAACGAACAAGCATAAATGCATTCAATCAAAGCCACGCATTTGCAAAGATTAAAGACACTTGACAGAAAAACAAAAATAGATGAAATTAACTTGCTAAGTAAACCGAAATGTATGTACCATGACGAATAAGCTCAAATCTGGGATGACCAATCCACTTTTTCAGATTGTCCTTGGAGCCAGTGAAGTAGTTATCGACAACAATAACCTGAGTAGAGAATGGAAACAATATAAACCATGGTGAAACAAATCAATTGACATACGAAGTTACATTACGGGTAACTTATTGCAATTTTGTTCATTATAAGCGCTTAATATTAACAAAAGTTTCCCAGCATGAAAAATAGAAAAAATTGGATCTTGAACTCATTACTGAACAAAAAAACTGACCCTGGAGATTTATTAAAAGTAAATCAAATGCTTACCTCAGTCTTTTCATTTTCCATTAACCTGTCAACCAGGTGAGAACCTATGAATCCAGCTCCTCCGGTAACCAAAATTCTCATATTGGACTGCCATGGTTAAAATACACAATTAAAGCATTACAATAACAATACAATTAACACGAAAATTTTGTCAGAACAATGATATTTGCTAGCCATCTAATACCAAACAAATCATACTGCTTGAATTGCAAAGCAGCATGATTTATATCAATAACTGTAATGAACCGATCTTTGCTCATAGAAACAAACGAGCGAAAAGATTGAAACATGACAAAGTTACATGACACGGCAACATTTTCATCTGGACTCACAGATTCAGAAATGCGGTTTGACTTTCTGCTAATTGGGGATAAAACAGAGAACCAAGAAAGTTGAAGAATAAGTGCGATACAAGTACAAAACCTCGACCACCGACGATAGATAATTTCAGGATCTAATAGTACAACTACAAACCAATCATGTGGGAAATGCTATCTATATTAGCAAAAGATGCATGGAAAGGAACCCCTTTCATACAATTATCAGTGAATTACAATTATTTTTTTATCAAGGGGCTTGCAATCAGTAAATGCTGATGGAGAAATGCAACAACCCCAGTGGCATAAATATCAGAAGCACAATAAATACACAAAACCAACACCAAAAAAAGGCATTTCAACACTGTAAAAAGCAGTTTACAGCAACCCAAAGAAGCAAATAATATATACGAGTAAAAAAAATAAAATTAGCACAAGGACCTGAAAAAACTTGGAAAACCGCAAAGGGGATGGCAAAGGAGGAGGCTTTGTTGTGGTCTGGTGCTCCCCATTGGTAGAATTGTTTGCCATTTTTTCCTCAGATCCTCTCTACAATCCAAACACCTGCAACAGTTTACACAAAATCTTCAAATCACACACTAAAAGATCAAATTATTGCAGAAATTAACACAAAGTTTTGAACTTTAGTTTCTCATCATCGAAAATTCTACGATGCTCTGGAATATCTTATACTCTGAGATTTTTAACCGTTAGATCTTAATCATTATATATTTAACGAATGATTTAACCGTTAAAAACCTCGGAATATGCTAGAAAATCACTCTAATTATAAAGAAAGATTAGAACTTGAAGTTAAGTTGACCTGAAAGATAAAGCTGCAGAGGAAGAAAACCCAACACCCCAAGTACCCTTTGGATCCGCGAAGCTTTAAGTTAGCAGAAACCCAATATTTATAGTCCCTCAAATCTCAAAAGAAATCCGAAAATCGAAGCTTCTACCAAACGATGA